CGGCTCCAGGTCTGCCTTCACTTTCCACTCTTCTGTGACCCCCAAACAGCAAGAGCACTCATTCAGCCAGTGAAACCATTACACGCCGATCACAGACAGGGCGTGCTTCAGCAAGCAGGGCCTGAGCACACATCTACACTCTCAGCTCCCTGTGTTGTAGGTGAGACCGTCAGTCTGTGTGATACACCCTAATCAGCATCGGAAGTCACACAACAAGCACCGCAGCTCCTTATCTGATGAGCCAAGAGGAATGTCACCTCTGGGCTTGGCTGGAATCATTTGACCTGAATCTGATCATGAGAAAATGAATCTAGAAGGTATCATGGAGAAAAAAGGACTGGGTAACTATTCTAAATTAAAAGGGACCAGAGATATGTCAAATTTCAGGGAATGTGAAAGGACTTGGGAAAAAATGATTTGAAAACGACTGTATGTAGGTGACATACGTTTGATTTTTCAGGTCTAATATCAGCGTTATGTACCAGACCTTATTCTCAGGGGTTAGAGACTTAATAACACTTGAGTAAAGCATCAAGAGGTCTCTGGGTAACTTTCAGATGGTTCAGGGAAAAAAAAAAAAAAAAAAGTGAAACTGCACAATGTTAACTGGCAGCCAGGGGACAGGCATGTGTGTGCATATTCCTTCCACTGTGTGGTTTGTTGTCAAACTAAAAAATTTCATGATACACCTAACAAAGAATATACGGATGGCGTACAGATCCATATCTAACCACATGAGATTGGCTAGATAGAAACAATTTGATACAATGACACGGAAAGATCAGTGTTTTAAAAATACAAACATTATAAATAGCATGATCCCATCTCTATAAAACACATACCAAAATGTTTGTAATGATTATCATGAAATGGCAGAAATACACTGGCTTGTTTTTGTTAATCAGTATTTTTTAAATTATAAATACCAGGGCACCTACGTGCTCAGTCAGTTAAATAACTCTGGATTTTGGCTCAGGTCATGATCTCGGGGTCATGGGATCCGTGCCCCATGTTGGGCTCTGTGCTCACTGGGGAGTAGGCTTGATATTCCTCTCTCCCTCTGCTCCCTCCACTGCTTTCCCTAAAATAAATCTTTAAAAAAATTATAAGTATTGTATTGTGCAACAAATGAAAAATAAAACTGATACCTAAAAGTATGTGAATGGGGCACCTGGCTGGCTCAGTCCATAGAGCATGTGACTTTCGATCTCAGGGTCATGAGTTCAAGCCCCACACTGGGTGCAGAGCTTATTGAAAAATGTTTTAAAAATATTAAAGAAAAAAAAAGTACATGAAAACAGGAGGGAATAGCAGTAGCAGAGGCGCTGATGTTTCTGAGGTCTGAGCCGAGTTCCTAAGGCTCTGTGGAGCTAGCCAGGCAGGCAGGAGAGTGGCATGCGCCAAGAGAGGGGTTAGGATGCCCATTTGCTCAGTCTGGGACATTGCTACAGCATGAACTCATGGGCGGGGTTGCCCGTGGCTTCCGGCTGTGGCTGGGATCAGGTCACAAAGGAGGGCTTCGGTCTGGAACGTGTCGGCAGCAGGTGCTGACAGGATCTTCTGCAGGGGAGACACAGTCAGATATACTTGGCCTCAGACACTGCTAGGTATGTGTGCCAAGGGTGGCCTGAGGGGATGGATGTGGTTACTGGAAGAACTCATAAGAAAAATGCAGATTTGGGGGTTGGGATAGTAAGGGATGGACTCAAAAGATACTCTGGGAGTAAAAATGGCAGCGGTTGGTCAGCTGAAAAGGGCAGTGAGCCTAGGATCTCAAGTAGATGGCTTGGGTGCTGCCTGAGTTACTGTCTGAAACAGGGAATGGAGGCGGATCAGATGGAAGGCTGATAGAATTTCAGTTGGGGACTGTGCTGGATTTGTTTGTAGGATCCCAAGCAAATGACAGATAACCAGCAAGAGCTGAAGAAAAACTCTGGACTGGAGCCGCGGGGCTGGAGTCTGAGTGTCTGGAGCTGGCCCCCTCCAGCTTCAACGTCCCCACAGTTAAGCCTTCAGCCTTACCGGCTTGAAGTGAGAATGACTTGACCTGGGATGTGTAAGCCTAAAGTGAAGTTTACCTCCTTCAAGGGCTGACCAGAGCTGAGAACTGAGTGAGAGGATTACCTACCACTAGAAGTTCTTTGAGCAAGTACATGCATTACTGTTTTCATTTTTAACATTGCAGTGGATGAATAAACAGATGTCAGGGTTCAAAGTTTAAAAATAGAACTTACAGGCACAAGTTAGTGCCCTTAAAACATACAGCTAAACCCCCAGAAAGAAGAAATATACAAAAGAAAACAAAGTAGCCGAGTTCTTTCCTCAGTTCTCAACAACAGGGTGCTATCCAGAGCACTGACTAACTAGAGGCAAAACCAGGTTCCAGTGGGAGCCTTAGTCACTGGCAGGCGCGCAAGCCTGCCTAAGCCACTAGCTTCTCTGTGCCCGTGTCCTCTAATGGATAAAGTGGGGGTGACAAGGATGTGGCAAAGGGCTGGCAATAGAACGCACATGCATAATTTGACCCAGCCCCTGGCACATGGTAAGCCCCTTCAGGAGCTGAAGTCACAAGGCTTGAAGGCAGTGTTTGGAGCAAGCCCCTTACCAAGTAGCACTGGCTTGGCATCTAGCCCAAACCCTGCTAGGTGGCCTGCCAAAGCTGCTCCATTTTCTACAGTTTGGAGTGTTTGAAAGCCCCAGACTCACGATGAATAGACGTCAACTAGGACATGCCTTAGATGCTAAGGTTGCCACGTTTGTGTGTTTGTGGAGGGCAAGAGCAACAAGCCAATTAAGAGCTCCACCTGGAAAAGCAGAGTCCGGAGTTAGCTGACAACCTGACTTAAGTGCCCACATTGGGCGAAGTCTGAGACTCTGGATTTTCGGGTTACATGAGCCAAATCATTTTGCCTACATCATGTGAATCAAGACTGTCACCGAAAATCAAGAGTTCTGAGTCCTGGAGCCTTGGAATCTGTGAGTCCTTGACTTAGATGTGGGAGGGGAGCAGAGTGATCAGTGGATGAGAGGATTCTGGCCGTGAGGTGCCATTTCCCAGGCGCCTCCTCAGAACCATAGCTCTGACCAATCATGAAAAAGGCAGGACATTCAAAAAGAGCAAGACTCAGGACACGAAAGGAAGAGATCAGGAGGTTCACAGTGAAAATTAAAATGAAAGAAATATAGGAGGAAAATAACTTTAAGGGGGGGGAACAAGATTAGCAATAACAAAAACTACCAACGGTATTGAAAAAAACACAAGATTGGGGTAAAGATTTAAAAACAGGGTCATCTTCGTGGCTCGGTCAGTTAAACAACTCTTTGATTTTGGCTCAGGTCATGATCTCAGGGTCCTGAGATCTGCACTCAGCAGGGAGTCTGCTTGAGATTCTCTCTCTCTGCCCCTTCTGCTCATGCTTGTGTGTGCACACACACTCTCTTTCAAATAAATCAATCTTTAAAAACCAGTTGGAAAAAACTAGCTCTATAAGATATTTTGGTCTGTGTATCAGGTTATTATTGAACTGGTATTTTTCTTGGGCGAGACAACGGTGTTATGCCTAAGGTGTGACAGTGTCATTCTGAGGAGAGGAGTGCTCAATGTCACAATGCCTGCATGTCTGTCAAACGTTCCGGCAAAATAAAGTGCATGTGTCTGGGGAAGATAGCAAGTGTGTGTGGTTAATATTTTAACAACTAGTGGACTTGGTGTAAAGTAGGAGGTGGTCACTGTAGTATATTTCAACTTTCTGTAGATTTGAAAATAACCAAAACAAAAAGGGAAACAGTGAGGAATTAAAATTAGGTAAGGCTGAGAGGGGTAAAACAGAAGCAAGAAACTTGAGAATTCAGAGTTATGAAATAGGGTGAACAGCAGCAAAGGTTCTAGATCAAAGCTAACAAGGCTTCAGATCAAAATGAGCCTTAATAAACTAGGGAGAGCCAGAGGGGTTAATCCTGGTTCAAAGAAGCCAAGTGGTGTTGGCAGAGAGCTCATGGGTGGGAAGCATGTCAACTTCCCACAGCATGGATGGGCTCACCAGAGCACCTCTTGAGCAAGAGTAGGAAGCAGTCATTGCCTCCTGCCGTAATGACTGTTTGCGGGATCCCTACTGCAGAAAGGGTTCTACTACTACTACTACTGCTGAGAGAATGCCACACATCTCCCCAGAAGGTACGGTAAGATATTCAGGCTAGAGTTTATCCCATTCTCCATCTGAGGACGGTCGATCATCCTATTAGTCTGAAGGTGCCTGAAATAACTAAGCATTCAAACCTGGGATAAAATCCAGAAGCACCCTCTGTACTGAGATTCTCCAGGTGGGCATCAGCCAATGTGCAGCACATGGCACAGTCCCCATCCACCCCTCTCCCCTATACAACAGATCCTTAAGAATCTGATAGTATCTCAATTCTGAAATGATGCTAAGAAAAAAAAAAAAAACGCCAAGGGTGGGTGGTACCAGGTCAGAACCAGTTGTGAAAACTATATGACTCTTCATGGCAAGGACTGTTTTTGTCCTGTTTTTAGAAATAGATCTCCCCCACCCCACCTCTACCCCTGGGTCTTTGCAGCTTGCCCCAAGAGCTGTCTGTAGCTCCATCTCAGCGTTTTATTAAACATGCCCTCGAAGGCCAAATGGCCAGGCAAAGTCACATGAAGCAGCAGTCAGAAGGTATAAGGACAGGAAGGCAGTTTCCCTCTGACACTAGAACATGGGAAGAAGGCTGCCCTAACTCGAGGGTGTCTGACAAGTTGGTTGTTTTGGCTAACACAGTAAAAAACAAAAACAAAAACAAAAAACAAAATCAGTGTATCGATTGTATTTCACAGGAACAAATTTGAATATGCTTTAAGCCAAATAAATAGACAGTAATAGAGTAGACCACAGCTGGCAACAAAACAAAACAAAACAACCAGCCCCAGGCCCATCCCAAATATTGGTCAATCCCCAGTATGGATTAGGCGCATGAAAAATTGGAAGGAAAAGGAGACGCAATTAATTATCAAACTTTAATTGATAGACTAATCTTACAGGATAAACAATAAGACAGCTAGTCAAGGTTACACTTTAAAAAAAAAAAAAATCCAGCAGCGCAGATCTAATAGACTAAATACGTTCATCTCCTCCCAAACAGGCATTTGATTTAAAAACAGAAACCAGAACAGAGCGCACACCACAAGGAAACATGGTACTTACGTATATTGTCAAATAATTCTGCAGAACTCTTTAAGAAAGAAAAGGAAAGAGGTTTTTTTTTAGAAATTTAGAAAGCAGTAGAACCACCCAGCCTGGCAGGTAGATGTGCCAGATGTTCTGCACTTTGGAGGGCTCCTGACCACCTGTAACTTCAGAGAGGCCACCCGGCCCTATTAGGAAGGAAACAGGTGCCAATCCTGACTGGAGAGGACTTCCTCACAGAGCCTTAAGACAAAGGGACCACCCTTTTCCAAGACAACAGGCATGAACAGAGCAGCAAGGAGCAAGAGAAAGGTCTCCCCCAGAAGTCGGGGTGGAAAGAAAGCCTGCCCTACACGGCCCTGGCACACGGTGTCTATCCCTTCCCCTTTGCTGCCCCAGCAAAGAACGGGAAGGCCAAGTGCAAGAGTCCAGGATGGCGCCTCCAGGCACATGGTTAGGAAGAGAAAGAGGAAAGCAAGTCCCTTCTGGCTGAAATATGGCAACTTTTTCTGAGACATGGCAAAGTGGCAGAGTCGGTCTCTTTGGCCCTCTGTAAGGTAGAGCAGCAGCTAAGGAGGCTACTAAGGCCTTGCCAGCCCCTGCTGTTTTTTCCACCAGGGCTCCCTTATCTCAGTTCAACCATGCCAAAAAAGAGCCAACACTACTTGCCAAAGGCCCCGCTTCAATTAAAATACTTCATCCCAGAGAGTCCAGCAACTCACGAGTCTGCTTTTCAGAGGCCCAGACAGACAGAGACAGAGCTGTGCAAATCTGCCTGGGCCCTGGCCGGGGTTACCTGGTAGTGACTCTGCCAAGTGGCCTCAGAGAGGGAAAGAAAGGCCTGACATCTGTTAGCCAAAACCTGCAGGAGGAGTGCCAGCACAGACCCTGGAAGAGGCAGCAGCCCTCAGGAGGCTCAGAGAAGCACCCTGCACAGAAGAGATGGCAAGCCTCTAGCCTGCTCCCTGCATGCAGGAGCTCCTCCTCGAACCGGCTCCTCCTGATGCCACCCACCTGCATGTCTCCTGCAATGGCAAGGGAGGGCAAGACCCCGGGGAAGGAGCCCGTCCCCCTCCACAGGGAAGGAAGTGCAGAGAAACAATCCTGAGGAAAAACGAACACTGTGATGCCTCCTATGGGGATGAAGACTTCCATTTACTAACACGGATTTAGGCAGTACATTCTGGACCGTAAACAAGGTTAAGGAAGAGACCGCTCACGGGACCGAGTGACAAAACCGTGAATACTGCTGTGACCCAGACGTGGATCTAAGTCAAATACTTCTCCCAGTGGCTTCTGGTGCTGTCCACCTCTGCTTTCCCGAGGGCTCCCAGCAAGGTCTCGACGCAGACAGGGTCAGGAGCCAGAGCTCAAGATCGTTCTAGCAAATTTACTGAGCTCTGTAAAGCAATACTCCAACGGCTCTGTACGAAAAGATGTCATTGACATTATTATTTATATATAGTATCTTGAAGTAAGGAAAAAGCACCATTTTACGTAAAAGAAAAAGGCTCACACAGGCTTTGGTCCTGTCTAGAAATGACAGCAGCCTGAATGAGAAGCAGTTTGGCCCTTGGGGAGCAGGGAGACAAGGGGACACACGCTCTCACTGGGAGGAAGGGAGGGCAGACGGCATGGGCACCCACCAAACAGGGCAAACGAGGAGACTGGCGGGAAGGGCCTCTGAGAGAGCAGCACTGCGAGGCCAGTCTGGGGACGGAGACACTGGCTTCACGACAACAAAAATGGGTGTGTGTGGCATTGTCAGGATACGTCTCCAGGACAGGGGCGCTGGCCAACAAAAAGGGCAGTATTCAAACCAAGAGGACCCTCTGCTTGCTACGTGATCATTTCCTCTGCGGGCCTGTCCTGCAGAGGGAGGCTCTGACAAGTAGCAAAGAAGCCCTTTTCTCCAGGAACTGCAGGCCAATGAGGACAGAAAAGCTGCAGTGACTGCTCCTTCTTCAAGGGATGACAAACAGGCAGTTTCTTGGATGCTACACTTCACATATGGTACGTGTGCCCCCCACAAAAGCAAGAGTAGGTTTCCCCGCCCAGAGGTATAACTGGGCATGGGCTACACCGTGAAAAGCACAAAGTCTGTCTACACGGGCTGGATTCCTGAACTACAGCTTGGAAGGGAAGGGCGTAGAGTATCATCATTAACTGGCTCACAAAGAATAGTCATCTTAGGCGAACACATGCTAATTACATTTCACAGAATGAGGGGGAACAGCCTAGAATCCAGAATGTGAAGTTTGGAAAATCTTTCGCCAAACCTTACTATGAGAGTCTGCAGCCAGGGAGAGGAGAATTGCAAAGACAGCCAGCAGAGAAACAGCAAAGAGCACAAAGGGTATCATTCACCAAGAGACTCGCCCTCGTGTCAGAGTCGATCGAGCCATAAGGAGACAACAGAAGCTCACGTGTACCAAGAACGTAAGGGCTAAAACCAGAAGAGGGTGAGCTAATCACGAAAGCAATTTATCCCATTTTCGATGTTTAAATATATCGGCCGACCCACTAGGTCAACATGTCTTTTAATTGAGAAAGGCAGCATCTCTGAACCTGGGATGAAGGACACTTGAACATAATGCATGAGCAGAAGGACCAAATGGAGAAGCACAATTGAAATAATCATTGGACTGCTTAAGAATTTCTCAGAACTTTGAAAGAAAGAAAGATCTGGGCCTGTGGCTCTATGGCTGTAGATACGGTCTTCCATCCAGCTCCTCCTAGAAGAGGCATCTGTCAGCCCGGGAACTGTGGCTTTTAGGCAGCGTAGCCCAGGCACACCCATGCCAGGTTGGGCCTTGAAGCCAAACAGTGAGGGCACTGGACAACCAGGATACCAGCAGACACCAGGGCCCAAGGGGCAAGACGTTTAGACAGGAGTCACTGTAAGATACTCCGCTGCTTGACAAACAGCACAGCAAGCGCGACAGCTCCCTGTCCTAGACCAAACAGCTCTTCCTCTCCCACCGCGCATTTTTAAGCAGCAGCATGGTGGGAGGAAGGCCAGGAGAGGAAGCTTTGATGAGGTACAAAAACAGGAACTGACATCTTTGGGTTTTTGAAACAAAAATTCAAATCTAGGAAGTGAGAACATAAAAAAGGGAAAAGAATTAAATCTGAATCAATGGACAGAAAAATATGGCTTACTAACCCACCCTCATTTTGCATACAATTTTATACGAAAAGGATAAAAACAAAAACCCAACTCATCACAACGCAGTCCAAATGTTTGCAACCAAAGATTTATGAAAATATTTCAGTTGAAATTGTTTTAAAAAAAAATTAAAAGGAAACCAGCAAGCTTTTGATCATTCCTTTCTAAACAAAATTGGTAGATCTACTCTCAAACACACTTAAGAGTATTCCACACAATATGTTCGGAACTCAGATTTATTGATTTCCACCGTGTTGACTTTAAAAATGGTATGAAGCTGACTGCCAGAAAAGGGAACCGGCGATTTTAAGTTAAAATTAAGCTAATGGTGAAAGTACATCACCTCTGGCTTCAGTCACCACATCGCCTTAGAGTGGATATAGGTTTTTTGTGTTTTTTTTTTTGTTTGTTTGTTTGAACAAAGTCCCAGAACTCTGAAATCCAGGGATGCTGCAGGCCTCTCCCAGCAATGTCCTTCACTTTGGGTCAGTCTCCTGGGCCAGAGGTGAAAGTGCTTTCAAAAATACTGCCACTTCCCCAGCACAGTGTCTTTGATTGCATCCACATATTGAGTTGGGACCCAGTACACCCAGTAGTAAGAGGCTTCCGTGGGGCCCAACTGAAACGCCTGGAAGGGAAAAAGGAAAACCAAGCGGTACTTCAGAGGTTGGGAGACTGAGCAAGCAGCACGACAAACATGAGGGCTGAGAAGTGAATTAACTAAGGGAAGGGAGAAACTGCACATGGAGAGCATTCTCCTGGTCCCCCCCACGCTCCCCCCAAAAAAGGTGGTGGAGGGTTAAGCATAGCCGACCCTAAAGCAGTGGCTCCCAAACATGAGTGTGCATCAGAACCATCTGGAAGGCTTATTAGAACAGACCAGTTGGACTCCACCCCCTAGAGTTTCTGATTTGGGAAGGTCTTGGGCCTGAGAATCTGCATTGCTAACAAGATTCCCCAGTGATGTCGTCCTTCCTGATCCAGAGACCAGTTTGAGAACCACTGCCCTAGAAACACTGTCACACATGCACAAAGAAACAGATCGGGGTGCTCACAGTAGCACTGTCAGGACTGGTAACCACCTGGAAACAACCTACATATCCATCAGTCAGGGAATGCAAAATTAAAAGTGATGTGGCCTATTTGAATGAATGCAGGATTATTTTTCAAAGGCATGAACTGAATCTACAGTTAATACAGACAGATCACAATTTTGAACCAAAACCAGCAAGTTGCAGAACGATACATACCATGATACCATTTACGAAAACTGAAAAAACACAAAACAGTACTGTATCTCGTCCATGGGCTTATACGAACACAAAAGCAGAGAGCTGGGAAGGATCCACGTGAGAAATCATGCTCATGGTAATGGGGGAGGGGAAGACAATGGGGACGTAATCGCTGTTGGTAGATTTTCTTTTATTTAAAAAAAAAAAACCGTTTAAAAGCAATTCACAAAATATTTACAAGTCATTTCTTAGTGATGGATATATGGGTTTGTTCAACTCTCCTCTGTTCTCTTCTGCATTTTTAAATGTTTCTCTAAGAATGAAAAGCACAGCCATCCCTCTCTAATGTGAGCTAGGATACCATTAATCTAGCTACTGAAATGGCATCTGCAAATTGAGCAAAGGACTTTCATTCAGAAAGAGGTTGAGGTGCCACTTCATGGCATTGAGGAAAGACAAGGGACGATCACGACCACTCTCCACCAGAAATGACCCGAAAGATAAGCTTCTGAACTGAGTATTAAAGTGTTAGCCATCCAAACTGCTTTCTTAAAGGACGTCTGAAATGGTCCGCTCTGGGAACCCCACTCCGGCTGCCTGAAAAGTGGGGCTGCGAATGCCACAGGGCAAACAGGTAATAGGAAAGACCCAAAAGGGAGTGAAGGGGCTCAGCTAAAAACATCTAGAAGCCGACTTTGTCAACAGGAAAAATCACCAAGTAGGCAGAATGAATCTGTCTGCCACCCTTTAAGGACGAGGGGTGAAGGGCTGCCAGAGGGCCTGCAAGCAGCCCCCTGGACGCTGCCACTCCCAGGACATCCAGGAGCCCTGCTGCAGCCTGCAGCCTGCAACCCCAGCCAGGGCCTGGCTTTAGCGCCTCTGAGCGGACACACACCAACAGGGCAAGGGAGGGGCCTGTCTGACTTTTCCCTCGAGCCAGGAGACCTGCCATCCTCCCAGAGAGAACCTCCAGAACTCCAGCCCCCTTTCACTGGGATCTTCCAACACCTCCCTCTGCAGGGAACTTTTCCAATACCGATGCACAGGTCAAGCCACTTGCTGCTCCTTGTCCCTGGAACGGGGCCGACACAGCTACAGCGCTGTTAGCTGCTGCTCAAATATCTGCCTCCCCCCAGCTTACTACTGGCTCAGGTCGGGTCCCTGTTATAGTGATCATAGTGACTTTGGGGTTCAAATAACTAAACTGGACTCCTAAAGTGGCCCCTCCTAACAGTGCTGGGAAAATGCAGGAGTTTGCCTAAGCTGCTCCATGCACTGCCTCACTGAATTCTTGGCTTTGTTCTGTACGAACCTGGGGAGTACCTCCAAACGTTCTGTCTTGGAAAGAATAGCCTGCTCTCTTTAGAGTACACCTCCATGCAAATGATGACCATGGACCCCCTCCTCCCCGTGGTGTCCTCAGCCACGTGATGGCTGCTGCCTGAGAAGAGTACCACTTCCACGGAAGGGGACCACCCGGTGTCCTCACAAATGCCAAGGCTAGTGGGAGATTTTGTTTTATACACAGGACAAAAGTTAAAATGAAAACCCACAAGCCAATCCTCCTCTTTGTGTTTATTTTCCTGATCTAAAGACAAAAATATTACATAGAAGAGGAAGGTAAAGATATAAAACATATCCCCTTTAAACTGATGGGAGGGGAGCGGTGGGTGTTGCAAAATAAACTTAGGAATAGGTCACAGATTGAGTTCAAAGAAGATGAAGAAAACGTGAGGGTCTTAAGACTGCATCTTCTGAATATTGAGCTCACTTCTTCAGTTAAGAAAGCTCAGTTAGAACTCCATTCCCTGCTAGCTGAGCAGAAGCAGGAGTGCAGTGAGAGGCTAAACCACGCCGGGCTACTTACCATCATGTGGTAGTCTTCATGTCCTTCGATAGGTTCACTGACCACATTTTTAATGGAGCCCATGGGCAATTTCTCAGTCCGCTCTAGTTGAGAGGGATTACAGTGATTACTCAAAGGCCCTCCTGTCCACTCCTGTGACTCTGCAGTCCCTCATCAGGGCTGGTGGCTCTGGGGATCTACTGTAATCGCAAGTCTCCCACGTGCTCTAAGGACGACGGGACGGGGTCTTCTGACCAGTGCACCCAGAGCTTTGCCTGGCTGTTGGGAACTTCTTGGGAGCAAATGGGGAACAAGACTTGCCCAGGGCATATATTAAAGGTCTCTGGGAGCAGAGTGAGCACCTTCCTGGTGGTATTTTTAAAAGTCTGGCAATTTAAAAATACCCAAGGATTTCCACTGCAGCCTTCTTGCCCGAGCCCCACGTTGACTAAGGTCATTGGCGCCTGGGGGAGGGACAGTCAAGAGGACCAAGAACAAAGGCAACAGCATGCCCCCGTGGCTCGCAGGGGCAGGGAGTGCTTAGGGCTTTCAGACTAGTCTCTATCCCATCCTCCTCCTCACTTGCCCTCCCACCCCCCGCCCCATTCCCTCTCCCAGTTCCCCACCCTCCATAAACACACACCTGAGAAAGTGCTCTTAAACATTTACAACCTTTCATTGTACTTAAAGGTACCACTTATCATGGGTAAAGGGGAGCAGAAGACATTTTGCAGCAAGTTTAAGGATGGCAGGTAAGAGAGAGGTGGCAGTGAAGGATGGCAGGAGTGAGAAGAGCCCGTAGGAAGTAAGCCCAGTCCCACAGCGTGGGGCAGGAGGCAGAAGGGGGGGCGCAGTACCTGCGCTACAAGAACCCACCCCCCCAGGAACAGCAGACACAGCAGGGATGGGGGAAGTTCTAAGCCAAGTTAAATCAAGTCAGAGAAAACCCACTACAGCCTCTGCAGAGAAAAATCTGGAAGAGGGAGAATCTGCCAATGGAGGAGTTGACAAAATGGACCCGGAATTCAGAGGTCTGGGTTCTAGCCTAGCTGGTGACTGGAGACGTTTGACTTCTAGCCCATGGGCCTTGGTGTCTGAAAAACGGGTAGTGGGGAGAACGGACGTGAAGATGTCCATTCAGGTTGTGACTTTCAGTGGCTCTAAAACAGTGACCCACGGGCAGGACCTGACCAGCAGCTGTTTTTAAGATCAAAACTGTTTAAAACACCGGCCACCTTGAAACGTCCAGAGATTCCACTCAAAAAGATAAATTTCTGGCTTCTCTTAAAAACCCCATCCTGGGCCCACATTCCTGAGTGACAGCAATGAGCTGGATCAAGCTGGACAGCCCCACTATGCACAGGGCATGGGCTCCCCCGGTGGCTCCTCCCATCTGCGTTTCCTGCCTAAGGCTGATTCTACTAGCTTGGGAGCTTGAGGCTGTGAGGACTACCTCCTCCACAAGCCACCACCGAGAGTCTAAGCTGCAAGGAGGAACCCCTGAGTGTCACTGGGTAAAGTGCCCTCCCCACCCCAAGAAAGAGGCCAACCAGCTGCTGGGATGGTCACTTCACAGCAGCTTCTTGCCAGTGGAAAGATGAAGCCGGTGGCTGGCGGCCAACTCCCAGAACAAGCTGTCCTACTGGGAGGGTGCTTCTGACACTCAGATGCCAAGACTCCTGGGCCAGTGAGAACAGTGCCTGACATTATGCTGGTCCAGTGATCTGTTCAAATGCAAACCTCAGCCTTGTTGCCCGTGAACAAAGTAGTCCTAAGCCACGCTCCTGGTGAGAAAGGAGGCTTTCAAAAGCTTGGAAACTCCAACATGTCAAAGTTCTTTCGAGTGCCTTCTTGCCAAGGGAGATAAAACCTCCACCACAGGTACGGGAGGTTCTGGTTCAGGCCTGCGGTGAGGTCGGGCTTCCTACACAACCTCCTAACAGGGCAACATTTCCCGAGGAACCAAAGAGCACTTGCAGGCGTAATCCTCATCCAGCCTCCCCTGCAGGCCTCTGCCACTGGCCCCCATCCTCCCAGCCCACAGGTGACTCCTTGTACCAGCCCTAGCAGCTGCCTTCCATTAGACCGCCTGGGAGAGAAAGTGGAGGTCAAGGAAGAGGCAGGCAATGGGGAAGTCAGCGAGACAACGGAGAACTAAGCCCAATCGCCTACAAAGTCATGGGCGAGGAGGGGTCTGAGAGCAGCAGGGCAGCTCAGGGTGAGGGGAACAAGAGCATGTACCCAGGGAAGGATTCGAAGGCCCACTGGAACACGGAGGGAAGCCCTCCCGTGCTCTGCAACACTTGCTCTAACCACGAAGTTAGAAGCGAGGGTGAAATGAAGGACACACAGCAAGTTATCACAAAATCATGAGAAAACTCCTGCGCTTTTGGCACTTTGGTCTTTGTTCACTTTAAGAACCAGCCTAGAGCGACAAACGAGAATGCCTGGGTCGGCATTTGGAATGATAAAAACACTTCACATCCCATAGCCCCACTGATTCCCTTTCAGAAAACTTGAAGTCCCACTTGAAGCAGAGTCCTACCGGATGGTCTGTGCCTAGAACCAGCTAACCTCATGTGATGGGACCCCCTAAACTTCTCTTTAGCGTTTACCTCTAACACTGAACACCTACAGTGCTGACAAGAATCAGGTGAATTAGGCACGTTCGGTTCCCTCCGGACAAATGAGTTAGGGAGGAATGAGTGCTCTGGGGATGTAAATGGAACACTCTATGAACAGAAGCAGGAGGACTTCATTTGGAAGGTGGGAGAGGAGTCGGGGACGGCTTCATTAGGAGAGGACATTTAAGTAGGGCTTTGGGGGAATCTCTCAACAACAAGGAATGGGAAGAAAGCATTCCAGGCAAGGGCCTGGTAGTAGCAAAGATGCTGGGCCGTGCAGAGCACGGTGAAAACTGCAGGTTGATGCAGCTGAAGCCCAGAGCATGTAAATGGGGCAAGCAGGGCAGAAGGCCAGGTCCAAAATTTGACAACACTGGATGCTGCGTTTAGGCATTTGAACTTGGCCTGAAGAGCCAAAAGTTTTTGAGCAGGGTAACCAGGGAGGAAGACAGGGAGGACAGAACAGAACACAGGGCAGGGAAATAGGTTAACTTGCTTTAACAAACCAAGTTTAAGATTGCAAAGAGTCTGTCTGAACTGGCACAACAGAGTGGCAAAAAAAAAAAAAAAAGGGACACAGATAATTTTGGAGTGTAACTGACAAGACTTTGAACCGTCTGGGGGAACAGTGGGGGAGGATAGTCAGAAACAGTTCCCAGCCAACAGCAAGCAGCAAGTCCGTCCCACTAGGCACAGGCAGAGGGAGGTAGAGGCAGGCAGAGCACAAACAGGGAGGGAAGGAGGGGCAGGTCCTCGGTACGAGGAAAACATACCTAGCACGGGGACAGACTCTGACCTCCAGGGGTCAGGCAGGTGACAGGACGTGAACAAAGCTGATTCCATACAGAGTACGCGGACAGGAAGCACTGTGGCATGGCTCATCTGAACCTACTACTTGGCTCCAGCTGATCGCTGCCAGGTGAGAATGCAGATCCAGAATAGCTAGACTTTTTTGTTTTGTTTAGTTTTCAAGAGAAGCCCCAAAACCCCCACATCAGATCAAGTGAAATTTCTTGGTTTTTACAGAACGTGCAGAAATCCAAAAATCTCTGGGACCTCTGGTTTTGGGTACAGAGTGAAGAGCCACTGTTGATGGATCGGCCCTGACAGAAGACTGAAAAGAATGAGGGAAAAGGGTCCAAACAGAAGGTGAGCCATCTAGAAGCAAAGACAAAAAGCCAAGAGCACGCAAAGCACAGTGAAGAGAGATCTCAGGAGGAGCATAGTTGCACCCAAGACCAAGTGCTGCTGGGTGCCCGAGGCAGCAAGCCAGGAAGGGGCAGAGGCCAGGAACCTACCTTTAGTGCCGATCCACAGCTGGTCTTGTTCTAGCTTGAAGGTGAGCCTCACTTTGCCTCCGGACTTATTGTACATGCCAGATAAGGGTACCGTCGGCAGGCGCTCCTGGAGGCAAAAGAACACAGTGATAGAGACCGGAGACAAAGACAAGGAAGGACAAGGCACAGGACATGGGGACATGATCACAGGAACCTCAGGAAGGCACAAGCGAGGACTGATTCATTTTCAGAATGCTCATGAAGGAGTCCAGCTTACCTGGGCACCCTTAACAGATGGCATCACATCTTCGGGTTTTCCTTTATCCAACACTTTCCTGTGTTGCTACAACGTAAGTCAGAAAAAATCATCAATCAAACAACTGACGGCATCTTAGTCGTGTTACTACCTTTCCGAAAAAGAGGAAGAAAGCCTTTGTGTTTTGGTTCAAAAGCTTTTAATGGGTACAGATTATGGGTTCTCTGACATTAAAGAGCAGTGCTGTCAGGCAGCAAGGTCTCTGATGATAGAAATGTCCTACATCTGGGATCCCTGGGTGGCGCAGCGGTTTGGCGCCTGCCTTTGACCCAGGGCGCGATCCTGGAGACCCGGGATCGAATCCCACGTCAGGCTCCCGGTGCATGGAGCCTGCTTCTCCCTCTGCCTGTGTCTCTGCCTCTCTCTCTCTCTCTGTATGACTATCGTAAATAAAAAAAATAAAAAAAAAAAAAATTAAAAAAAAAAAAAAAAGAAAAATCTTTAAAAAAATAAAAAAAAATAAAAAAAAAAAAAAGAAATGTCCTACATCTGTGCCATCTGAAACAGCAGCCAGGAGACACTTGTGTCTGCAAAGCTCTTGCAATGTGGCTAGGATGACTGAGGAATTAAATTCCCAATTTTACTGAATTTTAAGAAGCTTTATGTGGCTGCCATTTTAGACATCAAAGTTCTAGAGTAACTGAGGTTTCCAGATTACTCATTCAAATGAACTCTATCCTCTCCTCTGACAAAAACAAAAACAAAAAAAAAACAACAACAAAAAAGCCACTGAAAGGCATAAGCATTAGGCTAAAGTGAACCACAAAGTGTGTTGTCCTCCTGGTAGGTACAAAATGACAGCCATTTCCGTCAGCTGAAACTCCTTATCACAATGTCAGCCTAATTGCCTACAAGGGGCATTTCCTCAACATATGGAAACCCAGACTACTGCAGAAGTCAGCCTCACCCTCAACCTCAGCTAAACAGAAAGCCAGGAGAGACATAGTTTCAAAAAAAAATGCCCATTACCCTGCAGACTGAAGTTAACAAGCCTCTGACTCTGTCCTCCCCCCGGGGAGGGGGGGGACGGTGTTGAGGTAGCCCTGTTAAGGTTTGTCATTAGGCTCACAGCTCCCTAAAACAGTTCTTGAGCAGCCCAAATGCCTGAGCTTGTCTCCTCTCCACCTGTGGCTTTCTAGGTCACTATTTGGTAAGGCCGAAACCATGGAGCAGTGAGTGGGTGAAGGGAGGCAACTCTACCGAATTTAACCATCACGTGGTCATGAGCCACTCGCAGCCCTCACTGGCACGGCAGAAACCTTCTGGCAGGGGGATACGCTCAATGCTGCCAGACTGCTAGCAGAAGCTCCCCATACGTTATCAGCCCCAGATTCCTGAACACGCTGACAAGACGCCAGGAGAATGGGTCCCTCTCATTAGGCCACATTAGGCCTCATAACTGGCCATCTACAAAACAGAGGAGCAGAGATTAACAGCTTAATTCGACTATTTTGCAAGCACCTTTTGAAATAATTTTCTCTGCATTGTGGAAAACAATTGAAGGCTGTTAAGCTGCCATTGGTAACTCAAAGCTTTTGTTTAAAAAGCATGTAATGGGGATGCCTACCTGAGTGGCTCAGCAGTTGAACGTCTGCCTTCCGCTAGGGTGTGATCCCGGTATCCGGGATCAAGTCCCATATCTGGCTCCTTGTAGGGAGCCTGCTTCTCCCTCTGCCTGTGTCTCTGCCTCTCTGTGTGTCTCTCACAAATAAATACATAAAATCTTAAAATAAATAAAAATAAAAAGCATGTAATGCTCCAAGGGTGTGATCAGTGGAACACACAGTCACCCCTGACAAGCTCACATTCGACAATTTTTTTTTCTTAAGACTTTATTATTTATTCATGAGAGACACAGAGAGAGGCAGAGACAGGCAGAGAAGCAGGCTCCATGCAGGGAGCCTGACGTGGGACTCGATCCCAGGTCTCTGGGATCACACCTTGGGCTGAAAGCGGCACTAAACCGCTGCGCCACATGGGCTGCCCATATTTGGCAATTTCATATACGTGGCAGCGAAAACAGATAAATGGAAAAGTCAATTGGTTACATTTTGACCTCATATTTGAGGGTGAAAAGGTCCAAATAAATACCTTTCGGATGTTAATACAGGCTCACAACTCCTTACCTAAAACCCTACAGACAGATGTTTTAGATTTTTATAAAACCCAAGTCTTACAAACTTTATAAAGACTACAAAGTTTAAGATCACCTTATACATTATCCTCTATAGGATCCAGGGCAGCACCTTATCATCAAACACATTAACATTTCTAGAGCAAACTATGAATATTCACACTAATTCTGGTCAAGTTTTGGAAACATACATAGAGAATTATGGGCCTATAACACAAAACTATCCTTCTCACACTGTTAGCCATATGCCTTGGTGCCTAGGGTCACTAAAACTGATCTTGGTTCAAACTGATCTACTCTGAACAAGCAAAACAAAACAAAAAACGAAAAAACCCCAAATTGGTTTACTCTACTCAGGAACAGGTTGAGAATATCTGTTTTCCTGGAAAACTGCTAACCATGGCCAAGAGGTTCCATGACAACAGAGCGGGGTTTGCTGGGTGGTAAGACTGCAAGTAATGGTTCTTCCAAACAGTCCCCCTGTAGTGAAATACTCTCACTTTTCCTAATTACAAAAGGAATTTTAATGGCTACAATGAGCACAAGACAAGGCTGGATCTCTTCCATCCAAAGTGAGCAAAAGAATATGAAAAAATCAGGCCCCCAATTCATGGACCAGGAGGAAAAAAAAAAACCCAAAGCTGGTGTAGTTATGTTCCTAGTCAGCTTCGTTTGGCTTCCTGAAAAAGTTAGTTTTAGAGGAACCTCTGAAAGATGCTGAGTTCAATGGCTATCCAGAAATGGCTTGTTGACTTGGGGGAAACCACAAACCAAAAAACAAATGTAAGCACTTGTACAACATGTGGGGTTAATTCTAATTCTGGTGGCATTTTTTTCTGGCACTAAACAGAGGAGAAAAACTCACATCTGATTCCTTTCAATACCTGGTCTGAAGCCTGCCTTTACAAAGATCTTATCCTAAAGTAAATAGACTTGAGACACACTGACCCGCCAGATGAGACAAAGTTGCAAATCTCAGGTACTTGTCACCTTCACTCAACAGCCAGCCGCACCCAACTGCTGCCATAAATTTCCATCATGGGCCCTGTCCGAAAAGGAGCTTATTCTAGGGAGAATATAACCAGCCAAGGCTCCAGAAGACAAAGCCTCAACTTCCCAAGACTAGCAATCACATGACAAACTCACTTTCTGCCTGCAGAGTGGCTCCTTCTTGTTCTCTTCGGCCTTTGCATCCTGCTGGGCAGCATCTTTGGGTGTGTTTACAGCTAAAACATCATTTATCGTGGAGCCAACCACCATGATCTTGGCTCCGCTGGTCACTTTTATTTCTCTCAACGTCTTATCCTCGGGGACAAGTCCCTTATACATGACTTTCTGCATGGCAGGAGGGAGACCTTGGGAAGAGGTAGGAGACAAGTGAAAGGAAGGGATGAAAAACGTATCTAGACCACAGCAGTGTGGCAACAGACACAATATTTCCAATGAATATTTGCCACCATATTTGCGCACTCGGGTAACTCATAATCTCTCTGAACCGGTTTCCAAAATTTTATATTGTGAAGGCAATATATTCTTGTGTGTGGACTCCTCTTAAGGATTAAGGAATAAAACAAACAGAACACCTAGCGCAGTATCTGGTACTAATTGTTCAATAGTATTAGCTATCATTCATTCCAAGTTGTTTCTCAATCCTCTGATCACGCAAATACTAAGTGAGAATCCACAGGCCTAAGTGATACAGAAACCGGTAAGGATAAAGTTCTTATCTTTATGGAGCTAACAAGCTACACAAAACCTAAAAAAAAAAAAGAAAAAAAATTTTTTTCAGCAGGCAAAGTGCTGTAAACAAAACAAAACTAAAAACTAAATAGGAGGATCTGTGAAAGGGCCAAATGACAGTCAAGAGCAATGCTTCCTAAATTTCCCTTATGAGAATCACCCGAGAGATTTGCTAAAAATACATTTCTGGCCACATTCCAGAGCCACTGAATCAAACTCTCCAGGGAAGAGGGTTTGGAAGCTGTAAATTTAACATGTGCCTCTGATGATTTTCATTAGAGATGTTTGGGGCACTGATTATAGGTCTGGGCCTAAGATTCGGACCTGGGCTTGAATCTCAGCTCAGCCACTTCCTAGCTCTTTGATCTTGGGTCTCATTTTCCCCATCTGAAGAATGGGAATCCTGCACTTACCCCGGAGACCTGTTCTAAGCATTAAGGAAGCGGATGCCAAGAGAGTGGTCAGTGCGTGCCCACAGTAGGAGCACTAGGAATCCGCAGGCGGGGTGGGGAAGGCTGCCCGGCGCTGACAGCGCCGCGGCGATTACCTGTAATCGAGTGAATCTTCTGTTTCAGCTCGGAACCTGTGCTGTCCAGGGGGAACTTCACGTCGTGTTTAGTCTTGTTCCAGATGATCTTCAGGTCCACCAGCTCCCTGCCGGCGCCGCCGCCGGCGTCTTCGCCGTTGCTGACCGAGGCCTGGGCCGCAGGGTCCCCAGGGGGCTGGGCCGGGGCTGGCTGCAGGTTGCCTCGCGCCGCGCAGGAGTCCTCGGCCGCCGCCGCCCCCGCCGCGGCTTCGGCCTCCACGCAGTTCAGGGGCCGCGCGGGGGCCTCGGTCGCCACCGTCTCGGCCTCCGTGTCCATGCCAGGTTCCTCCATGCCTGCAAGGGGGTTAGGGGGTGGGCGCTCGCCGCAGGCTGGGCCTGGGAGCGAACCTTGCACGGGCGCCGCCGAAGCTCCCCTCCCGAGCCAGGATACTCCCCAGCGCCCAGGGCCGCATCCCTCCCGGAGGCCCGCTTCACCTGGGCCCAACCCCGGCGCCCGCCACCCCCGCCACACTCACCATCCGGGGCTCCGGCCGCCGCCATGATGATTGTGTACAACACCCACCGCTCCCGCAAAGGCCGCCGGGAAAAAGCGAGTTAGCTGAGATTGGCCCCCGCAGCAGCCCCTAATCTCGCACAGCCTGGCCGGAAACAGGTGGACGTTTCTATGGAGACCCGCCTCCTCCGCTTCCCCGGCCCGGCCCCTGCCACGCTTTAGCTTTCGAGAGAGCCGAGGGGGGCGGGTCCGAGAAACAGCCCGCTTGATGGATCCTGCCCCCTAGAGGCCGAATGGGGCCGCGGCTGCGCTGGCGCGGGGGGGTGGTGGTGGCGTGGGTTTGCAGGCTAGACGGCCTGTACCTTTAAGGGGCGGGGCTGCGCCCTCTGTGGCAGATGCGGATTGGCCGGGAGAGGTGCCCGGAAGTGATGCACTGAGAAGCCCACGTGTGCGTTCCCATCCCACATGGCGTTGCTCCTGAAGAGTCGGCTGTGGCCCGTGAGGCCCCTCGCGCCCTTGGGCCGCCCCGTGGGACGACGCGCGGCCAGCGTGGGCGCCGATGCCGGGGCTGCGGTGCGAGTGCGGTTCGCCCCCAGCCCCACAGGTAACCTTGACGGACGTGATGCTGCAGGTCGAGGTCCACAGTCCCGTGCCCGCCACCCCCTCCCCCCAAGGTTCCCGAACGAATCCCTTCCGGTGGCATCGCACTGGGCGGGCAGGGCGACCCCATTTTCCAGAGGCAGAAGCCGGTCCACGAGCGGAAATTATTCTTATTGCCAGGAAGTTCTTTGTGTTCCGTCCTTTTATTTCTGTATCCGATGAGTGCACGTCAGGCACAGACTGTGTGGGCTAGGTGCCCTTCCAGGCGATGGGATGTGGGGGTCGTCGGGGAAGGATGGCGGCCCCTGTCCTCAAAACGCCTACACTGTGCTGGCCACGACGAGCACGTGTAAAAATCCCCATCCTCGGGATCCCCGGGTGGCCCAGGTCGAGTCCCGCGTCGGGCTCCCTGCGTGGAGCCTGAGCCTGCTTCTCCGTCTGCCTGTGTCTCTGCCTCTTCTCTCTCTCTCTCTCTCTCTCTCTCTGTCTGTCTCTCATGAACAAATAAATAAATAAAGTCTTAAAAATAAAATCCCCATCCTTTTAGACAGTGCCATGAGCCATGTGAGAAACGAAGCAGGGAGGGAGCTGGGGCTTAGGCAGGAAGCTCAGGAAGGCCTTGTTGAGCACGAATCACTTGAGCTGGGAACCCAAAGACGTGAAGCCCATAGGAGGAACGTTATGCGCAGAGGAAATTGCACGCAGGTATAAAGGCCCTGTGGTTAGTGGTGTTGGCGTTCAGCAAGCCAGAGAGTGAGGCAGGGGTGCCATGGGCCTCTCTGCTAGTTCCTCCGGTTTTTGTTCTCAAGGAGTCCACCTTCTGCCCCATCGACACCAAGCATGCCTCTGATTCTGTACTTTAGGGTCCACACTTAAGGCTTCCTCTGTGGCAAGATCCCAGCTATTCAGAGTGACAGGATCTTTCCTGGCAGGCAGTAGAGTGCAGACTGGGCTTCTCAAGCCATTGAGACGGGACTAGCTTTTAATTTCCAGTTGATCATGTATCAATATTTTTATAGAATCTGACATCAATGAGTTACTAAAAAGGGAAAATACGAAAAGTGAGCGTATTTCTATTAGATTCACCAGATATAAGATTCCTCTGTCAGATCGCTGTCTCTAAACATTTATTCTCAATTTCCGTAGTTGGTTGTGAGCTGGCCCTAATTCACAGACCAGTACTGGTTTGCACTGTCCTTTGCAGAGCACCCAGTGGTTGGCTGCCAAGGCGTGAGATTGGCTGAGTCCACGTTGCCAGTTTTGCCACTTCCTAGCTGTGTGATGTGGGCAAATTCTATAACCTCTCTGAGTTTGAGTGTCACCCTCTGTCAAATGGAGCTAATGATGGTACCCACCTCACGGGTTTGAGCTGATGCAGCTGAGGCTCTTAGCAAGGTCTGGTACTTAGTAACCAATATTCTTTTTTTATGATTGTAGTTCTCATTTTCCTTGCTGATTTGTAGGAAAAGCCTATGAAGGCTGTTGATTACAGACAGGTAAAAAGAATTATCAAGCAATACAAATCATTAATTGCTAAAACCAATTGAAAGCTGTACTTATCAATTTAGATCTCACAACCACTGTATGAGGGAGGTTTCTATTTTTTTTTTTTTTTGTTTTTACTAACAGATGAGACTGAAGCTCATACAAGGGAAGTCGGGTCCCCAAGGGACAGCAACTAGTAAATGAATGCAGAATTTAAATGCAGGTTTATTTGGTTTAAGAGGTTGTGCTTTCAGGCAGCCCGGGTGGCTCAGCGGTTTAGCGCTGCCTTCAGCCCAGGGCCTGATCCTGGAGACCTGGGATCGAGTCCCACGTCGGGCTCCCTGCATGAAGCCTGCTTCTCCCTCTGCCTGTGTCTCTGTCTCTGTGTGTGTGTCTCATGAATAAATAAATAAAATCTTTTTAAAAAGAGAGAGGTTGTGCTTTCAATTACTGGCCCCTCCGTCTTCCATCTTGGAGACCACTGGTTTTTGTGGTGACCATGCAATAACTAGCCGAAAGTTACATAATCAGTGTTGAACTGGAGTCCGCAGAAGAGCCTTTGGTGTCCTGCACAGCCTTCTATACTTGTGGATGCAGAGAAGCTCATTGTGGAGGTAGGGTCATGGCTTGGACCAAAGAAGATAGGATAAGGGGAAATGAGAAAATGCTTATTAATAATCTTTTTTTAAGATTTTATTTTTTCATTAGAGACACAGAGACATAGGCAGAGAGAGAAGCAGGCTCCCTGTGGGGAACCCAATGTGGGACTTGATCCCACCACCCTGGGATCACAACCTGAGCCGAAAGCAAAAGCTCAGCCACTGAGCCACCCAGGCGCCTGGAAAATGCTTAATTTTAAGCTTTCAGTCAGGAATGATGGTAATCTTAGGAGTTTGAACTCAGGTGCAAAGAAATACAGTGGAGTCAAATACTGGTTCATGTTGAAAGCCAAAACTTAAGGTGAAAAAGAGTATATGCAAAGCATAATCGTATGGGTTTTTTTTTTGTTTGTTTGTTTGTTTTTACCCAAGCACATCATTGAATTTGCACACGTCAAATGCATGTGTGATACAGCTTTAGTGGATAATCCTCTGCTTGTCCTCATTTCGGTAGAACTTGGCCTTGAAGCAAATTTCAAAGTAGAATGGTGGGTAGAGCTGAAATCTTTTCACAAAATCACATACTCTAAAACTTGGGTGGTCTTCTTCCAGGATGAGGGGCTATAGGAGTCGACCATCCCCATCCTCTGGCTGTCTGTCTGGGTCTTAGCTGGAAAGATGAGACAGGGTAGCTGTTTCTTGAACTTTGACACTCACTGGGACATCCTGTTACAAGCAGGGCTTGCTTACCTTTTTGGGTGAGGTACGTTTGTTTATCCTCCTTGTCTTGTCTGAACCGTTCTCTTTTACCAGGCTTCTTGCACCTGGGTGGCCTCCGCACTGCCTTGTACAACTATATCTTTGCCAAGAAGCACCAGGGAAGCTTCATCCTCAGGCTGGAGGACACAGATCAGACCCGCCTTGTGCCTGGAGCAGCGGAGAATATCGAGGCCATGCTGGAGTGGGCAGGTGAGACAGGCAAAGGGAAAGGAACCTTCTCCAAGGGGGAAGGCAGAGCTGGGATTCTATAGGCCTTCTCATGGGGCCCTAGATGAAGAGTGAGGATTTCCTGTAGTTATGTGTACATTTGTGCTGTCTCAGGGGGGCACGTGCCACCCCAAAACATGCTGAAGCTCCCTGAGGAACAGCTCCGAGGCTGTTTTGAGGTTCCTTTTCTTACTGCAGAATCTCAGATCCAGCTGGGAGCAGACAGGAAAACAAGCCAAGCATCTGCTCTGGAGCAGGTAGGCCGATAGTGGGAGAAAGCTCCGGCTAGCCCTTATTCCCATGTGGGAATGCTAGCCCAGCTTGTTCAATCTTCTCACTTCCCAGAGGACTCAGAAATGCAAGTCTTTATTTATTAGTCTCTTTTTAATGAATATCTCCCATTGTTAAAGTTGAGCCTGAATTTCTTTTTTTTTTTTTTTTTAATCACATTGTGTGAGCCAAACAAAACATGTACAGCATCTAAAGTCAATCTTCTTGTGGGAAGTTTAATCCAGAGGCCTGCTAAACTACAGGAAGATGAGGAGTGTGTGTGTGTTCCTTGGGTCAACAGTCACCTACTTGTCAGGACAGGTAGAACCAGTTAGGCTCCCCAAGGAAAAATACCAAAAATATCAAGACTTTTATAAGATGTGTATCTTAATCTCAGGTAAATCATTAACAAGATTTTGGGTTCCCAAAGGGGAAAAACAGATCGTGTCTGTACCTTCTGTCGTAGAACATTATAGCAGATGCTTAAGTCAAGATTAGTTGAATAAAGGAATTCGTTCACAAAGATCACTTACTATAATGAAGGTCAAGTTCCAGCATTGAACAGAGACCCTGTGTCCAGTGAGTAGGGAAAGATAGATAAACAGACTAATTCATTCTCACCGTGACGTTATGTTGATGAGTGCTATGGAGACCAGGGTGACAGGTTAGGGAACTGGCAGGGAGAGATGTTCTCTTAGGATGGTCTTTTTGGAGGAGGCGACATGAAAGCAGAGATTGCACGGTGAGGGGCAGCCCTGTGGTTACCTCGGCAAAGACTATTCAAAGCAGAGGGAAGAGCAGATGTGAAGGCTCTGTTGCAGGAAAGCGTGTGATGTATTAGAGGAGCAGCAAAGAGGCCAGTGTGGCCCGAGCACAGTGAGCAAAGCAAGGGGACTAGGTGTGAAGACAGAAGTTGGCCAGAGTGGAACCATGTAGTGCCAGGCAGACCAGGATGAGAACTCGGATTTCACGAAGTTGAAATCCTGCTATGTTCAGGTGCTGTACTAGGCACGAGAGGTACACTGATGAACTAGTCCCACCCTTGGAGCCCCTTGTGCAGTATGATAATGTGAGTGGATCCTGTGGCCCCGTAGCAGAGCTCTTTACTCAGCATTGTGGCAAGGCAGAGGGGTGGCTGACCTCTGTAGCTTCCTGCCTTAGGAGTCACCCACCCTTCCTTCCTTCCTTCCTTCCTTCCTTCCTTCCTTCCTTCCTTCCTTCCTTTATTTAATTCACTTCATATGAAATTCACCATTTCAAAGTCTACAAATCCAGGTACCTGGGTGGCTCAGTTGGTTAAGTGTCTGCCTTCAGCTCAGGTCATGATCCTGGGGTCCTGGGATGGAGTCCCACATTGGGCTCCCTGCTCAGTGGAGAGTCTGCTTCTCCTTCTGCCCTTCCACTCTCCTTGTGAGTTCCCTCACTGTCTCTCTCAAATAAATAAATAAAATCTTTTTTAAAAAAGTATACAGATCAGGGATTCCTTAGTGGCTCAGCGGTTGAGCATCTGCCTTTGACTCAGGGTGTGATCCTGGTCTCGGGATCAAGTCCCACATCGGGCTCCCTGCGAGGAGTCTGCTTCTCCCTCTACCTGTATCTCTGCCCCTCTCTGTGTATCTCTCATGAATAAATAAATACAATCTTAAAAAAAAAAGTGTACAGATCAGTGGTTTTTAGTATATTCACTATGTAATGCCAAGTATCACCATCATCTAATTTCAGAACGTTTCCATCCTCCCAAAACAAAACTCCATATTTATCAGCAGTCACTCCTATTCCTGCTTCCTTCTAGTCCTTGGCAGTTGCTAATCTATTGTCTGTTGTTTACCTATTCCAGACATTTCATATAAATGGATTCAGATAATAATGTGACCTTTAACACGCCTGGCTTTTACTTAGTTTAGGAGTTCTATGTTGTAGCATGTGTCAATACTTCATTCCTTTTTGTGACCAAATAATCATTATATGGAAATACCACCTTCTGTTCATCCATTCGTCAATGGATGGGCATTTGGATTATTTACTTTTTTTTTTTTTTTAAGATTTATTTGAGGTGGGGGTAGACAAAGAATCTCAAGCAGACTCCTTGCTGAGCCTGGACCCCGACATGAGGCTCAATCTCAGGACCCGAGATCTTGACCTGAGCCCAAATCAAGAGTTGAACGCTTAACTGACTGAGCCACCCCGACGTCCCAGTTTTTTTACTCCAATGAATGGAACTGCTATGAACATTTATGTACTAGCTGTTACATGAACATATGTTTTCAGTTACCCTAAAGCCACTCTTAAAATCCTGGGCCATTCCAAATGCTGAACATGTTAAAGTTATGTCAGGAAGGGGCTCCTGAATCACTGTCCTTTCTGACAAATGAAGAAACAGAGAGCGGGAGAGGTTAGCTGAATGATAATGATCACAGTCCAAACTGGCTGAGTGCTTAGCACTTAGCAATACACCAAGCACTTCACCTATGCCATCTCATGCTGACCTCAAAGTACTGCCCAGGTGTTATAATCTCATTGAGGAATTGGAAGCTCTGAAAGGTGACTTGCTCAAGGCTCCAGAGCAGGCCAATGTGTTTGAACCCAGGCCTGTTTGCCTACAGAGTCTGTTAATGTCAAGTATGCAGGATTAATCACATCCTTACCTTCCTAACTCCTCGGAAAACTATTTGAGGGCAGAAACCCCACCATCTGGCTCTTCTCTGCCCCTTCTGTCTCTGTGGGATGTGTTTATAGGTTAAATCTGTCCTTTGTGACCTGAGGAAACTAGACTTTGGGTTGGGCTGTGGCTCAGAAGAGATCACATTTCATTGAACATCACATAGTGCCGCGGTTCTCCACGTGATCCTCGGGCTAAGCAGTTTGTGAGTGCTGATGCATCCTATTCTTGCTGCTATTGTGCGCAGTAGGCCATCAGCTCCATCTTGCAGGGAAGGATGCTGAGGCAGTACAAGTAGTTAAAAGCGTGGACTGGAATCTGCTAGCCTGGGTTTCAGCGTAGTTGTACCCTTTGTCATTGGTCAAGTGAAGTAACAACCCATCTGTGCCTAGTGTCCTTACCAAATGGGCGTCGTGATGGCATCTAGCTGGTAGGGTGGTTCTGAGGCTTGGCGATGTAACAGAACAGAAAAGCAGTCTGACAGGTGCTTGGCACTGTGGCACTCACACATCTTCAGGATCCCTTGTCACAGCTGCTCAGGCACAGAACCGGGGGTCCCATCAAGGCCTGACGGACTATACCAGGAACTATGCTTTGATCTGAGCCAGCTGTGCCAGGCCTGGGCTGCTCTCCCACCTGGGGGAAGGACGGGTAGAGAGGAGGTGTGGAGTTGAGAGCATAGGCTGTAAGGGCAGCATACCTCCATGACTCCTTATCCATCAGGCCACATGACCTTGAGTGCTTAGCCTCTCTTGTTTTTTAACTTCTCACCTGTGAAAGGGAAATCGCAATAGTAATGACCTTGAGGATTGTTGTGAGGATTACAGGCCTTACTGAACACACAAAGTACGTAGAACAGTGCCTGGGAACCAGTGCTGCAAGCACATTCGTTATTAGTGTTTGGTGATGATCGTCTCTTGCTATGTCCTAGGCATCCCACCTGACGAGAGTCCCCGCCGGGGAGGTCCTGCGAGCCCCTACCAGCAATCCCAGCGACTTGAGCTATACGCCCAGGCCACAAAAGCACTGCTGGAGTCCGGCACTGCCTACCCCTGCTTCTGCTCACCACAGCGGCTAGAGCTCTTGAAGAAGGAGGCGCTGAGGAACCGCCAGACACCACGGTGAGAACCTGCTCCCCAAAGTTGCATATGTCCCTCTGCTGTTGCTGCATTAACAGATCACCCCCAGACTTTGGCCATCGTGTGGCTTCCTATGGGTCAGGAGACTGGGCACAGCCTAGCTGGGCCTCTTGCAAAGCTCCATTCAAGGTTTTTTCCAGCTTTGTGGTTTTCTCAAGGCTTGGCTTATGGAGGATCTGCTTCCTGTTTCTCTCATGAAGCTACTTGCAGACCTCAGGCTGCTCTGGCTGTTGCCTGGAGATGCCTGCTCCTTGCCACATGAGCCTGTGCATAGGGCAGCTCATGGCATAGCAGCAGGCTTTGCTGCCAGTGAGCCAGAAGGAAAGAGACCAAGCAAGACAGAAGCCAGTCTTTTTGTAACCAAATCAAGAATGTGACATCTCATCACTTCTGCATTCCCTTTGTAAGAAGGAAGCCACTAGGTCCAGCCCACACTCTGAGGAGGGGATGACACAAGGGTAGAAACATGGGAGGGCGGGAATCACTGGGGCCATGTCAGAGCTGACCATCACATTGGCTCTTGAGCAACAGTAACACATAATTTCAATTGTTGGTTATTCTGAGTAAGTAAAAGGGTTTCAGGTCCAACGAGATATATGTGCAAAGATCTCTCCTAACTCTGACTCTGGCCACTCAGTTTTCCTCATCATAGACAAATGCTGTGAGACTTTTATTAGGTCTCCTCTAGGTACTCAACACAATCCTTAATGTGCATTGTTTCTCTTCTCCCCCATCCCAACAGCAGCACACAATTTACGGCTTGTACAACTTACCCATTTCCACTTACCGTCTTGAGGATATCAGTCTATATTGGCACATGGATTTTTCTAACACTTGCACAGTATTCCACTGTACAGATGTACCATCCCTTAAACCAGTTTCTTACTAACGAATCTTTATTATTATTATTATTATTCATGATAGACACAGAGAGGGGGAGAGAGAGAGAGAGAGGCAGAGACACAGGCAGAGGGAGAAGCAGGCTCCATGCAGGGAGCCTGATGTGGGACTTGATCCCCGGTCTTCAGGATCACGCCCTGGGCTGAAGGCAGGCGCCAAACCGCTGAGCCACCCAGGGATCCCCTCTTTTTTTTTTTTTTTTTTTTTTTTAAGATTTTATTTATTTGACAGAGAGAGAGAGCACAAGCCAGGGGAGCAGCAGAGGGAGAGGGAGAAGCAGGGTCCCCGCCAAGCAGGGATCTGGACCTAGGGCTCAATCCCAGGACTCTGGGATTGTGACCTGAGCCAAAGGCAGACGCTTAACCAACTGAGCCACCCAGGTGTCCCCTTACTAATCTTTGTGCTATTTTCAGTCTGTAGTTATAACAAAGGAGTTGGAATGGATCATGTTGACATATATTGTTGTGCGTGTGTACAGGTTGTTTATTGGAGACCTTCCTAGATGTGGAATTTCAGGACCAGTTTGGAGCTTTGATAAACACCACCTTGCTTCCTCTCAGCAGTGGCATCAGAACATCTGAGCTCCAGTTTGTTTATTTTTCTTTTGAGTGAGAGAGTATACACATGCACTCCAGGGGGTGGGGGACAGAGGGAGAGAGAGAGAATCCCAAACAGGCTCCGTGCTCACCATGATGTGGGGCTCAATCTCATGACCTTGAGATCGTGACCTGAGCCGAAATTGAGAGTCAGATGTGTAACTGACTGAGCCGCCTAGGTGCTCCTGTTTTTAAAGAATTCTTAAAACTTTTTTTTAAGTTTATTTAAATCATCTGCACACCCAGCATGGGACTTGAACTCATAGCCTCAAGTTCAAGAGTCATATGCTCTTCTGACTGAGCCAGTGAGGTGCCACTCCCTTCCCTCCCTTTTTTTTTTAAGGTAGGCGCCACACCCAATGTGGGGCTTAAAGTCTGAGATCAAGAGTCAAACTCTACTGACTAAGCCAGCCAAGTACCCCTCTAGGTTCCAATTTAAATGAACTGTTTGGACAAGGACTGGATGTTTGTATGAGGTCTTTTAAAATCATGGTCAAATTCTGTCATGGAATCCACAAAGTCATTTACCAACTGAACACTTAGCTTTCTGTCAAGAGGTACGTTTTCAAGCTTTACATTTGTATATCAGGATGCTTTGGGGAGCAATAATGGAATACCCTATTTAAAAGGCACAAACCTGGGGTGCCTGGGTGGCCTCATGTCTGCCTTCAGCTCAGGTTGTGATCTCAGCCTTCCTGCTTAGTGAGGAGTTTGCTTCTCCCTCTTCTGCTCCTCCCTCTGCTTGTGCTCAAACTCTCTTTCTCTCTCAAATAAATAAATAAAATCTTAAAAAAAAAAAAGGGGACAAACCAGGGGCACCAGGCTGGCTCAGTCAGTGGAGCATGGGATTTTTGTTTTTAAAGATTGTATTTGGGATCCCTGGGTGGCGCAGCGGTTTAGCGCCTGCCTTTGGCCCAGGGCGCGATAGACCCGGGATCAAATCCCACATCGGGCTCCCGGTGCATGGAGCCTGCTTTTCCCTTTGGCAGTGTCCCTGCCTCTCTCTCTCTCTCTCTCTCTCTGTGTGTGTGTGACTATCATAAATAAATAAAAATTAAAAAAAAAAAGATTGTATTTATTCATTCATGAGAGACACACAGAGAGAGACAGAGACACAGGCAGAGGGAGAACCAGGCTCCATGCACCTGGAGCCTGATGCAGGACTTGATCCCAGGATGCCGGGATCACACCCTGAGCCAAAGGCAGACACCCAACCGCTGAGCCACCCAGGCGACCCTGGAGCATGTGATTCTTGATCTTGGGGTCATGAGTTCAAGCCCATGTTGGGGGTAGAGTTTACTTAAAAAATAATTTTTTTAAAAAAAGGGACAAGCTACAGGTGCTTGTACTTTAACGCACAGACGGCTCACCTGGGGATCTAGTTAACACATAGATTCAGATTTGTCTGGGCTGGGGCCCAAGATGCTACCTTTCTGACAGGATTCCAGATGGGACTGCTGCTGGGGGTCCACAGACCTTACTTGGAGTAGCCAGGGCATAACCTACACAGACATTAACCACTTACTTTGCAGAAATCTGGACGTGAGACACTCAAGAATAAAACCAGTAGCTTCAAGACATTGGGGCTCTGTTTTGGCTTCTCCTTGCTGTGCCTGTGTATCAGTTCCAAGTGGCTGTGGTGGCTAAGCGTTCTGTCCTCATAAGACAACATCTGAATAGCACAGAAGGAGAAGGCAGGGAATAAAAAAAGAGTTTTTCCTCCTGTGGCTCATCTGTTCTCAAATGGAGAGAAAATCTTTCCCAGAACCCTAACCCTCCGCTGCCCCTAAGCATACTTTTCTTTGAGTCTCAGTGAGTAGAGTGTTCCTACCTGGACCATTTGCCAGCATCAGGAAAGAGATTGCATGATTGGCTACACCAGCTGTGATTTAACCCCTGGGACTAGACATTTTGCCATCTCCTTATTAACAAAGAAGAGGGACAGGCTGGAAGGTAGGCAGGTGTAAGTGTCTGCCATACTGTTTTCTCATTTGGTTTTCCAATATATCCCTCTTTTTATTCCTGTTCAAGATTAGAAAAAGAGGGGCACGTGGGTGGCTCAGTGGTTGTGTCTGCCTTTGGCTCAGGGGTCCTGGGATCAAGTCCCACATCAGGCTCCCTGCAGGGAGCCTGCTTCTCTCTCTATGTCTTTGCCTTTCTCTTTATGTCTCATGAATAAATAATTTTTTTTTTTTTTTTTTTTTTAAAAAAGAGAGACTAGAAAAAGAGCTAGAGAAGTAAATGACTTGCCACGGTCATTTAACCAACAGAGACAAAGAACTCATGTCTGTCTTTGGTACTCTTAGCCACTATGCTGCTCTGCTCCCCAACAGGTATGACAATCGGTGCCGGAACCTGACACAGAAGCAGGTGGCCCAGAAGCTAGCCAAAGAACCCAAACCTGCTATCCGCTTCCGCCTAGAGGGGGAAGCCCCAGCCTTCCAGGACCTGGTGTACGGCTGGAATCGGCATGAAGTAGCCAGTGTGGAGGGGGACCCGGTCATCCTGAAGAGCGATGGCTTCCCCACGTACCACCTGGCCTGTGTGGTGGATGACCATCACATGGGCATCAGCCATGTGCTGCGGGGCTCTGAGTGGCTGGTCTCCACCTCCAAGCACCTGCTTCTCTACCAGGCCCTGGGCTGGCAGCCACCTCGCTTTGCCCACCTGCCTCTGCTCCTCAACAAGGATGGCAGCAAGTTGTCCAAGAGGCAAGGGGACATTTTCCTGGAGCAATTTGCTGCTGCTGACTTCCTGCCGGATGCCTTACTTGATATCATCACCAACTGTGGCTCCGGGTTTGCAGGTACTGCCACCCCCGCCCGACACACACACAGTTGGGAGGTCACAGCAAAACCATAGGAGTGAGGAGTTAGGACTTTGGTGAGGCCCACCTGGTCTTCAGCCCAGCTACACAGTCTTGGACAAGTTCATTCATGTCTTCAACAGGTGTTGATTGAGCCAGATATTGTGCTTAGTGCTGGGGCTACAGCAGTGAACAAGATAGATGTAACCCCTGCCCTTTAGGAGCTTATGGTCTTTGAGCTTCACTGGCCTCATCTGTAAAATGGGGAGAAGTATCTACCTCATAGGGTTAGGATTCACTGAGCCCATGAGTATGGAGCACCCAGCAAAGTATCTGATAACCAGTAAGCATGAAAGTTACAGATCTTACGATTATGACAATTCTATCACTACTGCTATGGCAAGTATGGGTTCCGACAGTATTACTAAGTTATTACTATGACTCTAGTGTTTTTCCCAGCCTAGCCTTCTTATCCTTGGCCCAGGACTTAGAGCCCAAAGTTTAAAGAAGCAGCAAATGACAATGACCTCTTTGTGAAGGGGATTTCTGAAAATGTGGGAGTGATAGTCTGCTTACTGTTTATTCTACTCTTATCTGCTTTACTCCTTAAAATATCCTTGAGAGGTATTAGTTATCCCTGCTCTTTGTAAGAGGATTGAGAGGCTCCGAGAAGTTTGAGTGACTTGCTAAAGTCCCACAGCCTGGAAGGGCTGTGGCAGAGACTCTCTTTAGGCCTGGGCCTGACCACGATGCCCACTGACTGCGTGGGTTGGGGGGGGGGTTGCTACTCAGGAGGAGCGGCTCCCACCGCAGCAGTTCATAATGCTGCCTGTGCTTTGGAATCACCCAAGAGACTTGTAAAACGTATTTATGCTCCGGCCACATCCGAATCCAGTGGAATCAATCTCCAGGCACAGCCAGGCCGTGGGCATACCGTTCCTGCAGCTCAAGTCAGTGAGGGCAGTGAGGGTTGGTTTAGTCTGATTGTTTTCAAACTTGATTTTCCAGAGAGACAGAATCCTTTCTGCAAGTGAAAGCTCATTTGGGCCCTTGATCTAAAAGAGCTAGAAATTGAATCCCTTTGGTCGAAATGGAATGGGGAGCTCAGAACATGCTCACCCAGCCACCCTTGTGATTGAAAGGAGAGGCAGGGGGCTGAAGCTGGGCATGCCTACTTGCAGAGAACCAGATGGGCAGGACGTTGCCAGAATTGATAACACAGTTTGACCTGACCAGGATCACCTGCCACTCAGCCCTGTTGGACCTGGACAAGCTCCCAGAATTCAACAGGTGAGTGCGGAACCTGAGTGGCTGCTGGTTGGAAAGGACTTTCTGGCTGATGATGGGCCCCTAGGGCAGAGGCGTGAATTTGACCCATGTGACTCAGTTGTCTAATGTTTTTGACCTGACACAGAGCAAGTAAGTCACCTAACCCCCTGGAGCCTTTGTTTCCTCTTTTTGAACATGGGGCTAATAACAGGACCCACCTTGTGCAGTTGTCTTAAGAATTTTGTAAAAGGCCAACCTTTTACAAAAAAAATAATAATAATAGTAAAAATAAACATTCGGCCAAAGGACTCTACACCGCCCCTGGCACATAGAAAGTGTTCAGTAAGTGGTGGGTACTGCTTTTGTCGTTGCCATTATTCCTGGCCATCCCTTGTGTGGATTCTGTTAACCATGGCCTGGAAAAGGGGCATCTTTATTTCAGAATCACCATCCCCCTACCCCCACCCCAACCCCAACCCCCCTAACCAACACAGTGAATGAGCACCATCTCATGGCACCTGTTACGTATTTCATGGAGTTCTTCACTCAGACCTCTAAACCCAGTCACAGTTCAGATCATTGTTGACATACCCTTCTAGGGCCTCAGTGGTAAAACCAGCGGACAGATATGTGCTTAAGGGACAAGGGACTCACTGATGCCATCTCTTGAGCATCAGTTTGGGCACAGGCTCTCCTCAGTGCTTTACTTGCCTGAGCCCAGAGAATTTGCATTGACTGCAGATGTCTTAGGGATGTTATCTCATTTATTTCTCCTATTCGACCTGTGGGGTCAGTTGCATGATCCTGCCCTATTTTGCCTGCGCAGAAACTGAGACCGAGGGCAGGTCCACAACTATCTCAGGTTCACATAGTAAACAGCAGGCATCTCTTGAATGGGGCATTCAAGAGCAAATGTAACTTGTACCCTCCCTTTCTGATCTAGGGAAAGCATTATCTTGGGGACATGGGGGCAGGGTGGGGAAATATTTGGTGACCCGCTCCAGTCCTACCCAAAGCATGAGGGCAGCCAGAGGAAGGTAGAGGTGGGCTTTGCTCAGTGTGAATCAGGGAGGAGATGCAGTGTTGGAACTGACGCCCACAGGTTTACTGCAGCCAAAGGTGTCATGTTGAGATATCTCTAACATCAAGCCACTGCTGTGATGATTTCAGTGCTGGTAGTAAGAGTCGCCATCACAGCAACCCTAGAGTTGTGGTGGGAGTAGTAACAGTAATTACCAGCTATCCAGCACCTACTGCCTGCCTCTTGGGGCCCTGAACCTGACGTGTTATCTCCAGTGTGGCCACTAGGGTCTCTTGATGGCTTGTTTTCTGTTGTCGTCTCGCCGCTGAGACAGTCCTAGAAACCATTTCAGCATGTGACATTAATTCCTTTTTAAGAAAATCATGTCTTGGGATCCCTGGGTGGCGCAGCGGTTTAGTGCCTGCCTTTGGCCCAGGGCGCGATCCTGGAGACCCGGATCGAATCCCACGTCAGGCTCCTGGTGCATGGAGCCTGCTTCTCCCTCTGCCTGTGTCTCTGCCTCTCTCTCTCTCTCTCTGTGACTATCATAAATAAATAAAAATTAAAAAAAAATCATGTCTTTTGGACAGTGTGTACTCCAGAGAGCTTTCCACAGGGTCTCATCTTTCCACCAGTGATGTGCAGGAGCCTCTGCTCTGACTTCCTGCCCGTCTGCAGCTGCCCTGTGCTCTAGGCTTTACATATGGTCTCATTTAATCTGCACAGTGCCCTATGACAGAGGCTTCTGTCGTCCCCCATCATGCATCCGGAGACTCTGACCATGTAACCTCCTGCAGACATCTCACGGGGCTGGTGTGATCCGCAGGCCTGTCCAGTTCCAGAGCCCAGGAGATACTCACCCAGTGCTGCTGCCTGCCTTTCTTCCATGTCAGGGATGAGGGCCAAGTGCCTGCAGAATGGTCCTTGGCCCCGAATTACTCCTTCTCGGGTCCCTCCCACATTACTGGGGGTGAAGGCAGCCGGGGGGTGGGGGTCTGAAGAGTGACCGAGTCTAGCTAGAGGTTTTGCTGCTTCCAAAGGGAGGCAACAAGGAAGCTAGGAGAATTCTGGAGAGGAGAACTTTGAACTGACAAGGACACCTGAACTTTTTAACCGTGAGCCCTGGATTCAAACAGTTCTGCCCTCTGGAACATCCCATGGCTTCAAATCCTAGAAATCCGTATTCTTGATCTCTGCCTGTTTGTGCCAGAGCTCCAGCTTTAAGCTATGCAAGGGGGCAGAGACTTGCGGATCCTGCCTTGTAAGCCCAGGTGTCTGTCCAGGCCAGGCTGGTAGCACAGGGGAGGGTGGCAGGCAAGAAAGAGGAACTGGGGAGGAGAGGGCCTGGCAGACTGCAGCATCCTGTGCCTGTAATCAGGCAGCCACCACCCTGCTCGAGCCCTGAAGCGTGGGGAATGAGGGACCTTTGCTGCCAGATCTCCTGATTTCCCGAGAGAAGCCAGAAATCTCTGTTTTTATGTGATCTTCCTAATTTAAAATGTTAAATGCTACTATTTTAGAAGCCCTGCAAACAGGCTCTCTCTCTCTGGGTTGCTTGGGGCTCTCAGGTTGATTCAGACCTTGGTCACATCCCCTTCCCATATATTCCATGTCTAGGCTGTGGGAGGGACAGCTCATGTAACGTGTCATTCTTCAAACCCTGCCTGGTCCCCTGCAGGGAGAGGGTTTGGGTGGGCTGGGAATGCCATTGTAAGCATGGTCCCTTGGCTTCTCTTACAGGCTGCACCTCTGTCGGCTGGTGAGCAACGAGACCCAGAGGCGCCAGCTGGTGGGGAAGCTGCAGGCCCTGGTGGAGGAGACATTTGGGAGCCAACTACAAGACAGAGATGTTCTGGACCCAGCCTACGTGGAGAGGATCATCCTGCTGAGACAGGTGTGGTGTCCGGGAGACTGAGGGAGTGGGTGGCGCCCCCATTACTTCCTGTCCACAGTGTGTTCAGCGACTGCTTCTTCTCCCAGGGTCACATTTGCCGCCTGCAGGATTTGGTGTCCCCAGCACACTCCTATCTGTGGACTCGCCCTGCTGTGGGCCGAGTGCAGCTGGGTATCATCTCAGAGAAGGTGGACGCGATTGCCAAGTGTGTGCTGGGGTGAGTTCCTACAGGCCAAGCTCAAGGCTCTTCACTCGACTTCTTCTTTCCAGGGCTGGCAGGTGGCCCTGCCACACAGCCCCATGGCTAGCAAGAGGATCTTGGCAAGATGAACACTGGCTGGCTCTGTTTGGTAGGGGGGCTTACCCAGAGGAGCCCAAACTGTCCCCGGAAGGGGGCACTGCGTTTGGGCTTTGGTGTTGGGTCTACCTGGGTTCCCTCCCAGTACCACCACCTACCCAGTTGTTCTCCTGCCCAGATGGTGTCACTGTGGCCAACTTACTGCACCTTTCTGAGCTCCCATTTCCTCGTTTCCAAGGTAGAGATGACGCTAGTTCTCACTGTGACAGTAACAGAAATGCAACTAAAGCTGGCTTAAGCCCAGCCTGATGCAGGGCCCAGAAATATGCTACTGAGACCTAATTTTTTTCTCTGTCTCTTTAACTCTCTGCTGCACGCTTCTCCATGCCAGCTACTCATTCTGTGGAGAACTCTGTATGGGGTGGAGGGGGTGAGACTCTACCAGACATAGAGACAGTATTTACCCAACGTGGAAGTGGCAGTCCAGGCCTAAGAGCTTGCCCCATGTCTCAAGGGGACATGTCCCTAGGTTTTGCTCTTGTCTACATGGTGCATGATGGCTCACAGATCATCCACAAAACAGCCAGAAGAGGAAGGAAGAAAAAGGGAAGAGGACAGGACACTCCTTCCCCTCACAGACCTGAATTACCGTTACACATTCATTTCCACCCGTATCCCACTGGCTAGAACACCTGTCTTAGTTGCCACACCAAGCTACCAGGGAGCCTGGAAATTGTAGATTTTTTAACTTGGCAGCCACAAGGCTGGCTAAAGATTTTATCACTGTATACAAAAGGGAGAAAGGATAGAAGGGACCAGTAGCAGCCTCTGTTATACCTGCACTTGTGGAAGACCACTCCAGTGCCACAAAGCCTCAGCTGTGTCTTGAGATGATCTTTGACAGAGCCATGTTAGCCTCATTTTCCTGTCCCTGAACCATTTGTTGAAGCCTGGAAAGTGTGACCTGCTAATCAGTGTAGTGTAGCTCACTATCTCCTTGGCTCTGAGTAGACACACACACACACACACCCTCACTGCCACCAGGGCACATGGCTAAGAATGGGGGCCAGGTGATTTCCCCAAGGAGATTTGAGGGATCAAGAGAAAGGCAGATGGATGCTGGCCACAACACCCACGGTGTCCTTTTTACTTACATCCGCCCACCTTTACTGTGAAAACTAAAGTAGATAATAAGTGTTTGCTCACACACATGACTGCAGTAAGCTATTTTATGTATTAAATACATTAGGTATGTATATATGTACATGTGAAGGGTGTGTGTATGTATGTGTATACACTTAAATTCACAGCAGCCTGATAAAATATCGGGTTAAAACAGTATCCCCATTTTATAGATTAGAAAATCAAGACACAGAGAGGTGAAATATCCTGTCTAAAATAATAGTAAGTTGGAGGAGGACAGATTCAAACCCAGGCTGGCTGGGCCTAGAGGCCATATGTTTCTCCGTGCAGAGTGTTCAGACAGTGCCTGAAGCCTAGAAACCTCAATATATTGTTATAATACAAAACAAGCATGTGGCCAAAACTAGAGAATAACACAAATGGTACAAGAAGGTCCATAGCAAAAAGCAAGCTTTCCATCCTACTCCAGGCCCTAACAGAAATGTACCAGGCTTAGCTGTTTACTTTGTTTAAGGTCAGAGTATTCAATGATGTGTGTACATATAACTCCAATCTTAGAAATTTTTAAATTTTAAATTTAATATTTTGATTATGAACACATTTCAAGCCTTTCAAACCTGAGTTTAACACCTAGAAAGTATAAAAAAGGTAGATAATTGGGAAGCCCATTTTTTATCCTTGTCCCCCATCCACCCAGTTCAAGAATCCTCTGTGTGTAACTACTATTCCTAATACTATCTAGATGATCCTTCTTTTTTACACAAATATGTAACTGTTCTGTGTCTTTCGTTGGTTTATTTTAAGATACCTCACAGGTATCTGCCTAGTGCTTAGAGAGCATTCTCCTTCTTTTCTACATCTACACCTATCCCATTATTTTTTTTTTAACTTTTTTTTTTTTTTTTTTTTTTATGATAGTCACACAGAGAGAGAGAGAGAAGCAGAGACACAGGCAGAGGGAGAAGCAGGCTCCATGCACCGGGAGCCCGATGTGGGATTCGATCCCGGGTCTCCAGGATCGCGTCCTGGGCCGGCAGGCGCCAAACCGCTGCGCCACCCAGGGATCCCCACCTATCCCATTATTAAACCACTTTACCATAGTTTATTTAATTCATTTCCTATTGATAGGCATTTGGACTGCTTCCAGATTTTACAGGTACAAACCATGCTGCAACGAATAGCCATGTATAGACTTCATTAAGCAGGTCTGTAGGTATATCTCTAGGATAAATTCCCAAGAGCCATTATTATTATTATTATTATTATTATTATTATTTTATTATTCTCTTAATTTAGGGCGTTCCATCATAGGAGCTCTTAGTTCTAATTCACCAGGACCATTGCCTTAACCCCGCATCCTTGCCACGGGGTTAAATTTCAGAGATAGTCTGGGGCTCCCACTCAAAGCAGGAAAACTGACACCCAAGCGTTCTGAAGCTGCCAGATTTCTCGAAGTCCCTTCTGTGCCTGTGCCAAGCTCTGGACCAGCTCTGACGTGTCCTGAGCTGCACTGTTGGCCACCTCAGGCCTGTCACTTTTACACCAGCTCCTTGGCAGCTTGCTTCCCCAAAGTGACATGGACGAGTGTACCTGTTTTTCCCCACACTACGTTTTATATTTTCCGTATTTTACCTCCTGGAGGACTTTTGGAAATAACAGTGATTCCCTGGCCCAGTCAACGATTCATTGGGAATGATTAACTCTTGCCTCCCATTGAAATTCAGTTGCTCAGATGCCCGAGTTAGGGAGGGAATCTGTTGTAAGAGGCAGTCTTTTCACCTTACTTCTGAACACAGTTCCCCGAAGCCCAGCAGAGGCAGGGGGCTGTCTGGACCCCAGTGTGCCCAGGCAGTGTCACAGTTGTCATGGTGGATTGTCCGCACCAGTGAAGCTCTCTGGCCCCAGCCCCTCTACAGCATTTCTGGTTTGGGGTTCCCATAGTTGCCAAAGAGAACTGGGAAGGTGACGTAAAATAGACCCACCCCACCCTGCTCCTGTCCTTTGCTCCGACTCAGAGTTGTTATTTTATTTTTTTGGCAAGTCCAGCTCTGATTGGAGAACCTCTTGAAACTCAAACACACTTGTGAGAGTGGATCTCAGCTGGCCTGCCAGGAAAGCAGAGAGCAGCTGCTGGCCTATTGGACTTTAGGTCTTAAGTGCTTCCACTTGTGGGCAGAGAATGGTTGTAGCAAGAGGGGAGGAAGCCAGGCTGGCAACGCAGACCTGCGTGGCCCCAGGCAGCATGCATCATGACTCTCTTCTGCTCTGGGAACTGCTTCACCCTGGGCTACTTCCCCTACTTCATCACCTCCAGGTGCAGCAGCCTCTCCGATTACGATGCCTCCGGGTTCACCTGCCTCTTCATGCAGCTATACAAGATGCTGTTCCTGGCCACTGTTTTTCTCACCTGGGAAGGCGGCATCTGTGACTTCACAGGGGAGTCCATAAACGCCAGCATGGATGAGACAGACCTGATAGGCCTAAGTCTTATGTTCCAGAATGGAGGCCAGAGAGAGTACAAGAGCATGGTTGCTGCCCTAAAAGTTAAAAAGAAAAAAGGAGAGAGAGAGAGAGAGAGAGACTGTTTGTAGCAAGTTGGTGGCAATGCTGTTATGGGACCTGGGGTCTCCCAATATCTTTTCTTCCTGCCATTCTGTGCTAACGCCCCACCACCACCACCACCACCAAAGAGTCTTCCCTCCACTGCATTTCAGGTAATTTCCCCGAGGGCTTCCTTCCATCCTGTGTCTAACCCATTCCTTAGTTCGTTTTTGCAATGCCTCTGAGCCCTTGGATATAATAAATGTTAGCTAATAATTAATTTTCTAATGAAATATAAGATCTTCTACTCTGGAGTACTTCTTGTCTGTTCAGGCCATATTCTTAGTGCCTGACAAGTTTTAACTTAGCCCCACCAGAGCCCTGTGAGGTGCAGATACTGTTATTATCCCCACTTTCCAGATGAGAAAACTGAGGCATAGCAAGCACATAACACCAAGGTAGAAATGAGTCAATCTTCCTATTATGGAGTATTCCTATATTGTGCTTAAATTGTCTGGGTATGTGGTCCTTTGCTTGTTTTTCTTCCTTGACTTAGATGGGGATGGGGGTGGTAGATCTTCCTTCCCCTCTTATCCCCCAGGCAGGCTTGACAATCACAGCTGACCATTAATCTGACCTTCTCCCTCTTACCTGCTTGCCGCAGGCCCATGCAGGCTTCCGTAGGCTGGCTCTTTTCTAGGCTTTAAGTTTGTTTGTTTATTTCTATTGTTATTTTTTGAGTAGGCTCCATGCCCTGCATGGAGCCCAACACGGGGCTTGAACTCACAACCCCAAGATCAAGACCTGAGCTGAGATCAAGAGTCAGACGTGTGGGATCCCTGGGTGGCGCAGCGGTTTGGCGCCTGCCTCTGGCTCAGGGCACGATCCTGGAGACCCGGGATCAAATCCCACATTGGGCTCCCGGTGCATGGAGCCTGCTTCTCCCTCTGCCTATGTCTCTGCCTCTCTCTCTCTCTCTCTCTCTCTCTCTCTGTGACTATCATAAATAAATTAAAAAAAAAAAAAAAGAGACGTGTAACCAATGGAGCCACCCAGGTGTTCCTATTTGTTTGTTTTTAGTAATCTCTGCACCCCACATGGATTTTGAGCTCACAACCCTGAGATCAAGAGTCGCATGTTCTTCCAACTGAGTCAGCCAGGCGCCCCTCTCTTCTAGGATCTTAGAAGCACCCAGTATAAGCCTAACTCAGGACATGCTGAATCGTGAACTGAAGAAGGTATCAGAAGGCCTAGAAGGGACCAGACACAGTACTGTGATGCAGTTCCTCCGAGTGGCCCTCAGCGGACAGTTGGTAAGTGGGCAGATGGGCTGGACTGCTCCCTGGAGCCCCTCGTTCATCCATTCAGCTGACATTCACTGGCCGGCACTAAGCTCTGGTTTGGGGGGTACAAAGCCAAATGAAACACGATCGCTCCCTTCATTCAGTCCCTGAGCAGATAGTACTTAACAGAGTACCTACTGTGTGCAAGCACTGTGCCAAGTATAGCAGTGAATGAAACACACTCCCTACCTACATGGAGCTGGCAGTTGACTGGGGGTGGTAGACCAATCAGTGGGGGAGCACAGGCTCTGGGGAGCCATCCCCAGCTGCAGAAAGTGAAGACAGTAGAAGGCTAATAACTGCCCATTGGGGTGCAGGCGGCAGCACTGGGGTTGGCCTGACTGAGGCTGGGTGTCCCCTCTGTAGGCAGCTTAAGGCAGTAAGGCAATGTTTTCCCTTTTCGTTCTTAGCAAGGACCCCCCGTGGCCGAGATGATGGTGTCCTTGGGAGTAAAGGAAGTGCGAGAACGAATACAGAAGGTGCTTTCCAGCTAGAGAGAAGACGTGCAGGATGGTGGAAGTGGCCCTGGGAACCTGGACATGCCTAGAAACTGCCTTCAGAGGGAAGCAGAGGGGCCCCAGGAAGCTCATGGAAGGAACCCCGAGTGCATTCTCTGGGTGCACACAGTGCATTTATGGCTTCTCACCTAATGTCTGGTTCTAGCGGCACAGGTTAGGGGCTGGTTCATAGAACTGTCTAGAGGCCTTGTGTGTCACATTGAGCTCAGGCTGCCAGACAGGAGGCTTCAACAACAGAAAACTGTCTTCTCACAATTCTGGAGTCTGAAAGTCCAAGATCAAGGTGTCGGCAGATGTGGCTTCCCAGAGGCCTCTGTCCTTGCCTTGCCCGTGGCCATCTTCTCTCTCTGTCTTTGCATGGTCTTTCCTTGCTGTGTGCCCTTGGCCTCTGCCTGGGTGTTCACATTTCCTCTTTTAAGATCATGAGTCAGATTGGAGGAAGGCCCGCCCTAAAGGCCCAGTTGTAACTTAATCACCCATTTAGGGGTCCTGTCTCCACATACAGTCGCCTTCTGAGGTCCTGGGGTTAAGGCTTCAGCATAGGAGTGTTAAGGAAGCAGGTCAGCCCCTAACAGCTTGGTAGCTTCCTGGACACGTGGGTCTCAGTTCTCAGGCCCCATTGGATGTGGAACAGTGAAGGATGGCTGTTGCAAGCAGAGCTGAACCAGACAGAAGACCCTCTGGGGCTTGTAAAGGAGAAGTGACCATCTGCCAAGGGTGAGCACTGCGTTTTATACTGCTCTTTGTCCTTGCACTTGGGGCATCCTGTGTCTGCTTCTCTAAAGGTCTTCTCTTTCTCTTTTCCAGTTCTCCAGGCCTGGTCCTTGGACTGATACCTTTGCCCTGCCTGTTTTACACCTCTTTCTTCATATCCATCTCCTCTCTCTGCCCATTCTTGTAAGTCATTGTCTGCAGGTTTCTGAAATAAGATGGTTTATTTATTTATTTAAGTAATCTCTGGGGAAAAAAAAAAAGTAATCTCTGCACCCAAAATGGTGTTCGAATTCACAACCCCAAGATCAAGAGTCAAATGCTCTTCTGACTGAGCCAGACAGATGCCCCTGAAAAAGATGTTCTTATTGGGGTGAATAGGAATGTCCACAGTGGAAGGAAAACGGTGACTGGCTATAAAGACCATACTGGAAAAATAAATAAAAGTTTTGAAAAAGACCCTACTGAGGTTTGTAGGCTTTCCCCATGTGGCAGCCAGCCTCACAAATGCCCCAGTCATTCCTATGCCCTTATAGTCACACTGAGTAGGGCTGACTTGTGATACCTCATGGTTTCCATTTTGTTCTCTTGGATGACTTACTCTGCGGGAAGCCAGGTTCCACATCCTGAAGACACTCAAGCAACCCTCTGGAGAGGTTCATGGGTCAGGAACCTGGAGCCTCCTGGCCACACCCATGTGAGCAAGCCATCTTGGAAGCAGATCTTTGAGTCTGTCAGGTGTTCAGACCACTCCATCCTTTATGAAAAAGATCCTGAGCCAGAACCATTCAGCGAGACTGCTCCTGAATTTCAGACACACACAAATTGAAATAATGGTTGTGTTCTAAAGCCACTTGGGGGCAGCCCTGGTGGCGCAGCGGTTTAGCGCCGCCTGCAGCCTGGGGGGTGTGATCCTGGAGACCCAGGATCGAGTCCCGCATCGGGCTTCCTGCATGGAGCCTGCTTCTCCCTCTGCCTGTGTCTCTGCCTCTCTCTAGCTCTCTCTGACTGAATAAATAAATAAATCTTTAAAAAAATAAATAAATAAATAAAGCCACTTGGGTTAGGGATAATTTGTCACCTAGTGACAGATGCTCTTTGCCCAGGGGAGTAAAGAACAGAGATTGAGAGTTTGTTATGTCAAAAAAAAAAAAAAAAATTTGTTATGTCTTACAGAGTCCTGGTCTTTTCTTGAGAAATACATCAGATAAAGCTTTCTGGTTGCAAGCAATAGAAACCAACTCTGCTGAACATAACTTGACTAGAAACTATGAGTTTTTGGAGAGTTTAGGTTTATGGGAGTTTAAGTGCATGGAGAGAGTCCAACAATCAATAAGAAAGCCAAAGAATCAGTTCTTGAAAAAGATAAGGAACCAGGGAAGTTCTGGTTGAGGCAGCAGTAGCTGACGGCCAGTCTTGTCTGTTTTCTTCAGTGGGGACACATGAACAACTGTTTTTGTTGTTGTTGCTTGTTTCCTTATTTGTGTTTTCCCCTTTAGTTTTAGATGACTAGCTAAAGATTTACATTGTTGTTGTTGTTTTTTCATTTAAGTAATCTCAGCAGCTAGTGTGGGGCTCAATCTCACGACCCAGAGATCAAGTCACACGCTCTCCCGACCAACCAAGCCAGCCAAGTGCCCCTAAAAGATTTACATTCTAAGAAGAAAGTGTCTGTTTGGGCTGACTGGTTGTGTTGCCATTCCTTAGCTGGGAATAGGTAGTCCCTCAGTGTGGGAAATGTCACTCCCAAGGAAAAGTAGGAAGTTTTTTCCAGAAGAAGGGGTAATGGAGAAACAACAGGCATTTCCTGCAGAAGGGGATGCAGAATACTGATACTTGTGGTTTATTGTGCATGTACATGAGCCTTGACCACTGTTGAGCTTCAGGTTATGCTGGTAGTATTGTAGTCCATCCTCATTCGGTTTCCACAATCCCTTGAGAGAGGTATTCTTATTTCTGTGTTATAGGTAGAGAAACTGAGGCTCAGAAGAGCTAATGAACTCTCCTGATGCAAAGCAAGGATTTAAACTCAGGCTTACAACAACTTAGAGTCCAAGCCCAACTCTGAACTACTGAGAGACATCAGAGCCTCTGCTTCTATGACACAAAGGACGGTTATGAGAAACTGGCTCGTGAGTTGATAAAGCTGCTGCCATTTCCTCAGTTGGAGTGAGCTGACTATAAAACAGCACGTGTCTTCAGACTGGGGATTTTGCTCAGTACTGTGGGTATGTGTGAAGGGACTTCACACATTTGAAATAACCTCAGGTTCATCCCCCAGCGCTTTTGAGAGCATAGTGAATTGGTGAGGGCCATGGAGGCTAACTATCCAGACTGAAAAGCCAGTTCTACCACCTATTCACCATGTGACTTCTGTACCTCAGTTTCCTCATCTGTAAAATGGGGTTAGCAGTTGTTACTGTGTCAAAAGAGTGTGAGGATTAAAATAGCTGATATAAGGAAAGTTCGTAAAAGAGTGCCCAGCATTTAACAAATGTTACCTATTACCATCATCATCACCACTAGTGTTTTCATTCTTAGAAACAGCGATCTTAGTTGCAAAGTGTAGAACCATACTTAGACTAACTTAAACTGCAAAAGGAATTTATTGGAAGAGGTAGAAGGATGTTCACAGATCCAAATGAGAGGACTGCCAGCTGGACCTTTCAAGAAACTGGAATCTACCTACAAACCCACTGGGACCTACGAACCTCACTTTTGTCCCTCTGAGAACTGTTTCTAGCACTCATCCAGGTCTGCTCCCCTCGTCTTACTTTTGCACATTGGATTTCTCTTTCTCTCTCTACTTGCACAACAACTGCCCCAGCCCTAAAATTGAATCCTCTTTCTTACCCTACACTACCAATCAGGTAACTTGTATTCCATGTCCAGATTCCCAGGAGGAATCTGATTGGCCTCCCTTGGGTCAGCTGTCTACCCGTGGTCTGGTCAGCTGTAGCCAGTGGGACAGAATCATGCAGTAGGACCGTGGCTGTAGGGGGGCCCCACTGTACTGAGTAGGAAGAGTGGTTCCTTCCCCTGAGTGTATTCTCTGTCAGTATCACTCAGTATCTTTTCTAGAAAATGATCACTTGTTCTGTAACCAAGTTTGGAATTTCATTCACATTGCCTTTATACTACTTTGTTTCTCTTTTTTTAAGATTTTTATTTATTTATTCATGAGAGACACACAGAGAGAGGCACAGACAGAGGCAGAGGGAGAAGCAGGCTCCATGTAGGGAGCCTGACTTGGGACTCCATCCTGGGTCTCCAGGATCATGCCCTGGGCTGAAGGCGGAGCTAAACCGCTGAGCCACCCGGGCTGCCCTATTTTATTTATTTCTACATAATACTTAATATTATATGAAATTATATAGTGTGCTTATATACGTTTACTGCCTACCTTACTCTGAAAACATAAAATTAAGACAGGCAGGCGGTTTGTCTCATTCTTTGCCTGGCATATTGCCTGACACACAATAGGGAATCAAGTGAAGATCTAATGGGAAAAAATAAGGGCCCCATCAGTCAAACCAGTGTGTTCAGAAGTGGCAGTCATCTGCTAGTCTTAACTGCCAAATTCTGATAGTTTCCCAGCATTGCTTTGCAAGATTTGCAATTGTGGTTAGCAGGCTGGTCTATTGTCTGTAATTTGCTTTGAATCTAGCTAGCTTGAGACATAGACCTCTTTTTTTCAAGTTTTATTTTTAAGTAATCTACACCCAACGTGGGGCCTGAACCCACAACCCCAAGATCAAGAGTCACATGCTCTACTGACTGAGCCAGTCACATGTCCCTTTATGAGATAGACTTTAGACAAAGACTGAAGTGAAAGGTAGGGACAAATGGAATAGTTCAATATAGAAGGATGTGCAGTGGGGACTCAAATTGGAAGTCATCTATTTATCAGTTAATATGTTTGTCTTATGACAAAATTCTTCCCTTCCCAGGAAGCAAGAGCAATGAATAGTTAGAAAGTGAGGACCCCCTGGGTGATAGCAGAGTCCAGAGAGGGAGGATTTTAATCTGTTCAGGGGTACCAGAAGGCTTTACAGATGAAGTGACCTTTGAACTGGGTCCTAAGGATGAATTTCCCAGGTCTGTGGGGTTTGGAAGAGTATTCCAAGTAGAATGAGGAAAGGAGAACTTCTCAAAGGTGGTCATGATTGGAACTAAGGGTAGGAGTTAAGGGGGTGTAGAAGTGGGCAGAGAAACTAGGCAGAGGGAAATTCCAAATGCTTCCCCTTTAGAGATTTTGTTTGACAGCACAATAGGGGTAACAGCAGGCAGAGGGAGAAGCAGACTCCCTGCTGAGCAGGGAGCCCGATGGGCTTAATCTCAGGACCCCAAAATCATGACCTGGGCCCCCCAGGCTCCCCCCCCAGATGGCCCTCTTTGCCAGGTTAAGGGTATCAGGGTGCTGTCTGATGCAAATAACAAAACCCAGATTCAAACCAGCTTAAAATAAGATTTAGTATTTCATGTAACAGGAAGTTCAGGGGGCAAGGCAGGCTCTAGGGTTGGTTAATTAAACGTTCAGTGACATCAGTAAAGACCCTGGGTCTTTACATCTGGCTGTATAGCCTTGGGTTGGTTTTCTCTGCTCACAAGTGGCTCGCCTAAAGTGCTTGGGCTTCTCTGCACTTCCTCCTTCGTGTGCTGTCAGAGACTGTGGCTTTTGGCGCCTTTCTCCTTAAAAGCAAGGAAACTTTTCTGAGCACCATTGCCCCTTTACTTCCCTGTTCTTGAACTTCTGGGGAAGTGGGAGAAGCATCCTCGTAGACCAGTCAGACCCAGAGCTGGGGGCAGGGACAGCTCTTCCCTAAGCTGCATGGCTGACTGGGGAGTCTTGGGCACTTGAACAAACCTCAGGTTCAGCTAGTGAAGACATGAGTTAAGTCTTCAGGAGGTGGAAGGTGAGAAGCCACGGAAATATTTTAAGCAGGGAAGTGATGTGATCGGATTTGTGTGTAGATTATTTGAAAGCTCATCCTGGCAGCTGTGCTGCAGAGAGATTTGAGCAGAACCTGACCAGAAGCAGGGAGCCCTGGTAGGAGATGACTGGAAAATGAGGCATGAAAAGGGGCTGTTGTCCTGGGAAAGCCATGCTTTCTCCCCACAGCCTGACCTTCGTCTGGCTCCCCAGCTGCACTGCACCCATTACAGCCCCTCACATGCCCTCCTGTCTGGTCTTCAACCACATAAGGCTTCCCGAGGCTGCTAGACACATCTCCTTCCTGCCTTTGCACTGCTGTCCTCTGTGACTGGAAGACTCGTCCATCCTCTTTTCTCTGGCTTTGCCAGGTCACTTCCTTCCTAGCCTTCAGATCCCAGCTCTCCTACCTCAGGGAAGCCTCAGCCTTCACAAAAAGCTCTCCTATTGTCTTGAGTCATCAGCACCCTGTTCTTTTCCAAAGCACACAATTGGAATCTGTTGCATAACTACTTGTGTAAGTGAGGAGTTCCACAGTTCTGTATTGGTGTCAGTCAAGTCTAGGAGAACAGGGGCCTCCTCAGTCTTCACCATTGTACCCCTGGTGCTGAGAGTGCACTGCTTCACACAGTGGCTGCTCATCGACACTGCTGAGCAAAACAGATCCACCTCTGATTGGATCAGATGACCAGGGTGAGCAGTCAAGTGCACTGATCCTGTCTCAGCCAAAGTCACTATGTTTAGGCAAGAACACTGTTTTGCAGCGTTCAGGAACTTCACATCATTTGTGGTAACTATTTTCATTAGTGAATCACAGGATATGAAATTTTTTTATTTTTTTAATTTTTTCTTATTTTTATTTTTTGGAAGCCAGGGGATGCCTGGCTCAGTGGTTTAGCGCCTGCCTTGGGCTCAGGGTGTGATCCTGGAGTCCCGGGATCAAGTCCCACATCGGGCTCCCTCATGGAGCCTGCTTCTCCTTCTGTCTCTGTCTCTGTCTCTGTCTCTCTCTCTCTCTCTCTGTCTCTCTCTTGTGAATGAATGGATGAAATCTTAAAAAAATTTTTTAAAGAAGTAATTTGGAAGCCAGTACAATTTGTCTTGGCATTTGTGCTCATCATGATAGCCTGGGGAACTCCAACTTAATCCTTGGTGGCTGGGCCAAATGTTAGGTCATGGTCTTTCCCGCAGGCCAGAGCCCCCTCAGCCCTGCCCCCTCCCACCACTCCCCCAATCCTGGTAGCAGTAGGACAGCACAGCAGTCCCTTCACCTGGAGAACCCCTCTAAACCAAATCCATTCAATTCTGTCTTTTTCTCATTCATTTGACAAATACCCATTGTGTGTCAGGCCCTGTTAGGCCTGGGGATGTGAAGAGGAGTAATAAACGTTCATTAATTATAGACACTCAGTCCCAATTATTTATATATTTATGTGTGTGTGTGTGTATTTACATTTATTTGTTAAGCTTTTAAAAAGAAACCCCACCTCAAAGAGATGAGAGTGTCATATGAGACCAACAATTACAGTAATAAGAATGTGGAGCTGAAGTTGGTAGGGAGGCAATGGAAGTGGTACAGGGATATGGAATTCCTGGGTGGGGCATTGGGGAAGGAGGGAAGCCAGTCAGGGAACACTTTCTTTTCTTTTTTTTTTTTTTTAAGATTTTATTTATTTATTCATAGAGAGGCAGAGACACAGGCAGAGGGAGAAGCAGGCTCCATGCAGAGAGCCTGACGTGGGACTCCATCCAGGGTCTCCAGGATCACGCCCTGGGCTGCAGGCCGCGCTTGCTAAACCGCTGCGCCACCAGGGCTGCCCCAAACACTTTCTTTAGAAGAAGTTGAGGTTTGCCTTTTAATGTCCATTTCAGATAAACAGTAATTTTTTTAGCACAAGTATGTCCCATGCAATATATAGGACATACTTGTGCTAAAAAATTATTTCTGGGCAGCCCCGGTGGCGCAGCGTTTTCGCGCCACCTTCAGCCCAGGGTGTGATCCTGGAGACCCGGGATCGAGTCCCACGTCGGGCTCCCTGCATGGAGCCTGCTACTCCCTCTGCCTGTGTCTCTGCCTCTCTCTCTCTCTCTCTCTCTCTCTCTCTGTCTGTCTCTCATGAATAAATAAAATCTTTTTAAAAAATAATTTAAAAAATAAATTATTTATTTGTCTGAAATTCAGATTTAACTGGGCTTCCTCTGTTTTAATTGGCTGGGTCTGGCAGCCCAACAAGGAGGTAGTTTGACAGACAAACAGAGGGAGGTAGGTCCAGGTTGAGGGAACAGGACATATAAAAGAAAGGACTCAAAGTACAATCAACTCCCATCTGGTGCTTAAAGTGAGGTAGGGAGAGCCAGAGGATTCTGGTTCCACCAGCAATTATTCTGCATCTATAAAGTGCCAGAAGTTCAATGGTGTATGAACCCAACCACTACCCTGAATTCCCAATCCACTTTTTTTTTTTTTTTAAGATTTTGTTTATTTATTCATGAGAGACACAGAGAGGCAGAGACATATAGGCAGACGGAGAAGCAGGTTCCTCACAGGGAGCTCAATGGAGGACTCCATCCCAGGACCTGGGATCATAACTTGAGCCAAAGGCAGACAATCACTGAGCCACCCAGGCATCCCCCAATCCACTTCTCTACTGCCCACTTTTTAACTTTCTGTAGCATTCCCTAAGCCAGCACCATCAGCATTGCCTGGAGACTAATTAGATTCTTGGGCTTCACCCTAGACCTACTGAATTAGAAACCATGTGGGTCGGGCCCTGCATTATGTGTTTTAACAAGCCCTCTAGGTGATTCTAACAAATGCTAGTTGGAAAACTGATCCACATGTCAAAATGTCAAATGAGTGTAGTTGCTTAAAATCGGTACCATAAGCCAGTTATAAGAAATATTTAGGGGCAGCTCAGGTGGCTCAGCGGTTTAAGCGCCTGCCTTCTGCCCAGGGCGTGATCCTGGAGTCCCAGGATTGAGTCCCACATCGGGCTCCCTGCGTGGAGTCTGCTCCTCCCTCTGCCTGTGTCTCTGCCTCTCTCTGTGTCTATCATGAATAAATAAAATCATTAAAAAAAAAAAAAAACGAAAACATGTAGGGTCCACCTAACCGTGGATTCTTTGAAAAAAAAAAAAAGAAAAGAAAAATATTTAGGAAGTGATGGATGGTAGGTCCCTGGCAAATGGAGAGCTCCTGCCCCTCTACAGGGAACAGTCTCTAGTCAGTGTTGCAGTGAGGAAATCCAGCTCTAGTGTTGCCAGGTATTTAGAATTTTCAAGAGATGAACACATGTTAAATATTTTATTTGGCTCATTAGTGAAGACCCTAGGAGATGTTGCAACCAGTTCAAAGGAGAATCCACAGTACAGACACCTTTATAGATCTGGAATATTGAAATGAACATGCAAATGGAGACAAACTGGTTTTTCCACATGGAGGCTGTTGTATCTTCCCAGGACAATTCATTTGCATGCTTGTAGACCAGAATAATTTCTAATTGCTCTCAGTTATCTACAGTTTACGGAGATATAATTTCCAAAGAACCAAAAAAAAAAAAAAAACCCACAGAAGGTTGTGCTGTAGACAATGCAGTTTCTTTGAAAAACAAAATTTCGCCTATACGTATCGGGTTATAGGTGGAAGCTGTCCCCTTCAGATTCATATGTTAAAGCTCTTAAGTCCCAATGTGATGGCATTTGGAGGTAGGACTTTGGGAGTTAGATGTGGTCACAAAAGTGGCGCCCTCACGAAGAGATTAGTATCTTTATAGGGGGAAGAGACCATAGTGCATGCTCTCTCCCTCTCCCACCCACTCCTGCAGCCCCTCCCCCCCTCCTTCCACCTTGGGAGCACATAGCAAGATGACAACCCTCTGCAAACCAGCAAGTGGGGTCTTACCAGAGACCCAATCTGCAGTACCTTATCTTGGATTTCCCAGATTCCAGATCTGTGAGAAATGTCTAGGCCACCAAGTCTGAGGTATTCTGTTACAGTGGCCCAAGTTTACCAACAGGTAACAACCATAAAAAATTTAGTGTAGAAGCCGGCACACAGTAAGCACTTTGGTCGCTTGTCATTCAGAGCCCTTTCGTGACCCTTTCCATGTAGAAGGCAGCTATGGGCAGCAATCTGTCAGACGGAGATGTGTGTAGCTAGATTTATTTTGAAACTGAGCTAGCACAATAGTGATACTTCGCTTAGCTGGTATATTTATTTGGGGTAGGGATGTTATTAGGCCCAAAGGGTGCAAGGGCATCTGGATCCCAAACAGATCAGGTTTGGCCCCGTACTACTGATAAAATCCAAAGACAGAAACAGTAGTGATGAAACAAGAGAGGGATTTAATTTAGTGATACCAGCACAGGGAAGAGAGTGGTCTAACATCTGAAAGACTGTCTCCAGGGGTGCCTGGGTGGCTCAGTGGTTGAGCATCTGCCTTGGGCTCAGGGCGTGATCCCCAGGTCCTGGGATGGAGTCTTGCATCGGGCTCACCCCAGGGAGCCTTCTTCTCCCTCTGCCTATGTCTCTGCTTCTCTATGTCTCTCATGAATAAATAAAATCTTTTTTTTTAAGATTTTATTTATTTATTCATAGAGACGGAGAGAGAGAGGCAGAGGCACAGGGAGAAGCAGGCATCATACAGAGAGCCTGACATGGGACTCGATCCAGGGTCTCCAGGATCATGCCCTGGGCTGCAGGCGGCGCTAAACCGCTGTGCCACCTGGGCTGCCCTAAAATCTTAAAAAAAAAAAAAAGACTGTCTCTGAAGTGCTGAAAATACTTTTCGGTTTATATAAGGAAAAGGTGGGATGAAAGTGTGGGTAGTGCAGTTGGGCACTGAAGGTCAAGTCATCAACATCTTAGGGTCAATCACAGTTAGGATCTTGCTGGCTCCGGGCAATCCTTACTGCTTGAGGGGGTCATTTCGGTTTCTATCACAGGATGCTTTCCTCAAAGGGCCTTTTGCCACAGTTAAGAGATAAACTGGAAAGAATTTAATTAGAAAGTACAGGGATGCCTGGGTGGCTCAGCAGTTTAGCGCCTGCCTTTGGCCCAGGGCGTGTGATCCTGGAGTCCCAGGATTGAGTCCCATATCGGGCTCCCTGCATGGAGCCTGCTTCTGTCTCTGCCTCTCTCTCTCTGTGTCTCTTATGAGTAAGTAAAGAAAATCTTTTAAAAAAGAAAGAAATTAGAAAGTACAGACTGAGGCCAAGATGGAAGTGGTTGACGTCCTTGTTCAGAGATGGGGCCTAAAGCCCTATTGCTACCTCTTACGGTTTGTAGGGTTCATTTGGCTACTCAGTAAGTATTTAGTGACACTAGTGTGCCAGGCACTGTTCTAGGTACTGGGGCTATACAAGTATACAGAGCAAAGTTTTTGCTTTTATAGTGGGCAGGCTTTTATAGTGAAACAGGCAATATTGTATAGACAGTTTGTGCTTTGAAGAAAAATTATGCACTGTCTAGACAACCCCGCCTTTCATTGTCTCACAGACCTCTTACAAGTGGTCTACTCATAGATGACTGATAGTAATGCAAATCATTCTGCCAGGGGGATGGACAGTCGTCACTGCTGATGGTAAAGCTAGGTTTGTGTCTATTTGTCCATGTGTTCCAACATTCCTTTATTCTGTATACATTTTCATTTTCTCTTTTTTTGTTAAGATGTTAAGTAATCTCTACTATGGGGCTTGAACTTCCAACTCCAAGATTAATAGTTGCAGGCTCTACCAGCTGAGCCACTCAGGTGCCCCAACCTTTTTTCTCTTCCTTTTTTTTAAAAAAAAAAATTTATTTATTCATGAGAGACACACAGAGGCAGAGATATAGGCAGAGGTAGAAGCAGGCTCCCTGTGGGGAGCCGGATGCGGGACTGAATCCAGAACCCTTGTGTCAGACTGAACTCAACCACTGAGCCACCCAGGCATCTCCCTTTTTTCTCTCCTGAATGGATTCTAACATCACCTCCGCTCTGTTCCCCTCATTTCATTAAAGACTTAAAACATTTGATAAGTCAGGGGATCCCCGGGTGGCTCAGCTGTTTAGCTCCTGCCTTTGGCCCAGAGCGCGATCCTGGAGTCCCAGGATCAAGTCCTGCGTCGGGCTCCCGGCACAGAGCCTGCTTATTCCTCTGCCTGTGTCACTGCCTCTCTCTCCCTATGTCTATCATAAATAAATAAATCTTAAAAAAAAAAAAAACATTTAACACGTGTTCATTTCAACACGCATGAGAATCATGACTTTTTTTGGGAAAAATTATCCTTTAACAAAATAAGCAAAAATCTAGGTAGATCGATGGTGTATTGTGCAACAGAGAAAATAAGGCAGTATGGAGAAAAAGCGGGTGTGTCATTTCAGAGAAGTTGTGGGAGAAGACCCTCCTGGATAAAATGACCGCCAC